ATGCCAATGCTGCATGCCAAATATCAAGAGGCTGTGATAAGTAGTTACTGAGAAAACTGTTACGAAATGTTTTTCCCCGCCTACCACCCATCCGACGCCCGCCGGCCCGCCCGATATTCACCATACTATAACCTGGGTTTGCAACTGTGCAACAAGGCCAATAACGTAGTCGATCACCATACTGATGATTCTATAAATAAAAAGAATCTCAACCCCGAAATTTATTTAAGAACTGTAAGAATATTCTGACCACTTTAACAGAGCTTTTGGAAAACAAGTTCTTTTTTTCTGATTATTAAACGTACCCTTGTAGACCATACTGGTTTACCTTTTAAATGAAAGACCTTGTTGTTGTAGCCAGACGTTTTATGAGCTTGATCAGGTATTCTTGAAATGAGGATAGTTTGAGAACTTGTTCTAAAAAAAAAGTTCTATGATTCCTTAAACATAGAAAATAGCCCTCCCCCCGCCCCCCCCCCAAAAAAAAAAAGAAAAACAAAAAAGAAAGAAGGAAAAACAAACAAAAACAACATTTTTATTGCATTTACGGTTAGAACAGAAAATAAGTGAGATTTCTTTTCAATTTTTTTTTCTGTTTAAAGATTAGTAAGCATAACGAGATTAATAAATCCAATATGTAATTCACAAATGTAGGATTCTCATTTATCACATAAACTTTATACATGTAGATACTAGTCATAAAATATGCCAACAGATAATAAGTTGTACTTCCGCCGTTAGTCCATGAATCATCATCACTAACACCATTTAGTTTGGCAATCAAAAATAAATGAACACAAACAAAATTTTTTTTTATAAAACAATATATTCGGTTTCAAAAAAAGCCAATTATGAAATGAGTAATTTATCAATGGTAATGATTTGGCTTTGCTTAATCTCGCGTAGTTGATCATTTTATAATTAAAATTTTGATATTATGTATTTTGCTAAGCTGCGTTGATAAGGCGATACGTTATAGAATCACATATCATGACGTCATCCGAAAACGTACATTGTGTAATATACCACAGAGAATAGTCTTGAAACACAAGTTTACGGGTTAAAGAAGTACCATATTCTTCTAGAACTGTCTGTCTCGTTTTTATAGTCAGCCAGCCCGGGGCAACAAAACCAACTATCAAAAATATTACACCGATCACGTGTGTCCAGTACAAGAATCCAGCGAAACTGTTAGCGCCTTCTTCGAGCAACTTTTTTCGAGATAGCATGGATGTTCTTTCAGCACTCTGCGTTCCAGCATCATCTCTTTCTGGGCCATATAGTGCATTCACAGGTTGCTCTGCCTGGGCATCTACATTTTCTGATTGGCCTGTGCTTATTAAGCCACTCTGAAATAAGATAAACACATCAATATATACGTCAAACATTGGAATTCAGTAAAGTTAGTGTACTTTCGTGCTTATTATGAAAGTCTACTTTGTGACACCTCACTGATTACAAGTTATGTTCAACAAAAGCCTTTGTCTTGTTCCCTGCCTAATATGCTTAAAACATTTAGATCGTGTAAGAAGTAACACTGAATTGGGCAAATTAATGGAGAAAACATACAGCATGGTAAGTTACCAGACAAATATACTTTGTTATAAAATGAATTAATGCATACAGCGGCTAGGACATACATTGTACATAACAAATATTTCTCTGTTTCTTTTTAAGGAAATTTGTGGGCATAAAGTGGATGCGGTCCGTGGGTCAGTGACAATGGGGATAATGATTGTCCAAGAATGGTTCGATGAAATAATAACATGGACACCGGCTGATCACGGTGGTATAACGTACATTTCTATGAAAAGTGAAGATGTCTGGACGTCGCCTTTAACTGTGGCAAATCCGTTCAAATTTATTTTGCTTGGTCAGTCTTGGATGCAAGTTGGATATCAGTACAACGGAAAAGCAAGGTATGCAGTTGGTGACATCATGGAGTTTTCTTGTTCTTTCTACATGAAGTACTGGCCTTTCGATAAGCAAATCTGTTCTATAAACTTCTTTCCGTATGGATACGCGTACAATGAAGTAACGTTCGCTATACCTGGAACGGTGATGAATACAGACTTTTATACGAAGAACGGCGAATGGTATTTAGAGAAGGATTCATTTACATTTTCAAAAGACAATGACGGTGGATCAACCACTGTGCGGTACACCTTCCGGATTTCACGACAGTCATTGTTTTATTTGCTAACGATTATTATTCCCATCAATGGGATAGGCGCCTTAACTTGCTTGGTTTTTCTTCTGCCGAGCGAGTCCAGTGAGCGCGTTACTTACTCGATCACCATTATGTTGTCACTTGCAGTATTTCTGACGGTCATTTCAGACGACTTGCCAAAGCATTCAGAGCCGATCCCTATCATGTGCGTATACATTCTATTTAACATGGTTGTATGCATCTGTGGTCTCATTATGGTCATTCTAAATTTAGCACTATACCACAGGAGTGAAACCACGCAAATATCGCGATTTTATAAATCACTAGTGAACATTTCATGTCGTCGGAATAATGTCGGTGATGAAAGCTTGGTGCATTCTTCCGATGATTTGATAAAGGCGATTAGTCGAGAGAAACAAGGTACTGCTAAACAGGATTTTAAAAAGAGCAAAACAAGATCTAGAAATACTAATGGGTGGGTTTCAAATGGTCCAGATGAGAACATAACGTGGAAGGAAGTAAGTCGGGCGATAGACAAGATATTATTCTATGTGTTAGTTATACTAACGTATGTTCCATCGTTAGTAATACTGGTTTATATAGCAGCGGACTCTGACTACAACACACAATGATTGTTCATTTGCAACGTTTTCTGCTCCTTTTGAATGACTTTTATTGATAATCGTCGAGTTATTGCAAATGAATGAATGCTGACACGGTTGTAATTAACTGTCATCTTCAGCAAATATTTACACACAGTGTTTGACGTGCTTAAGAAGTGGCTTGGATTATTGTCAAATATTAAACTAATATCACAATATATCTTTACCAAATGGCTAGCTCAACACCCGTGAACAAGTTACAAGTTGTACAGTTTGTTGCACCTTATACTTTGTCCGTCGTCGGAGTGATCTTGTATACTCCTCATAAACAGTTTTTTTCGTACATGCTCCGGTTTAGTTAACAATAATTATTATTGCCTGATACCTTATATAAATGTAATTTTTTATTTGTTGCTGTTTTCTGAAATTCTTAAAACGTCAACGTATGCGAACTCTTGACCGGTAAATAGTTTTGACTGTTTCCCTCGCGTGCTCTGACGTCATGGGGGATTCCCCCTTGAAGTGTCCATCGATCGTTTATAAATCAGACGTGACGTGACATAGCTAACATATTGTTAAATTGAGAGTTTAATTATCAACATATTTGCAAAACTATTTTCTTGTTCCTTTTTGTATTTTCTGATCGCAGATCAGGAAATTCAATGGTGACATTCAATCTCTGGCACAGCGCTTCACGACAAACCTTATAAGAAGTAGTTCTCAAAATAGCTTAAAGCTAGCGATGTCAAAGAAAGATATACTTTTTTTGTTACAAGTATCCAACAAATTACAACGCATTCAAAGTTTAAAAGTAACGCTGCCTTATAGAATTGTCATTAAATGCACAATCACAAATTACGCGGATGAATATCAATTTTTAGCGATGTCGATTACCGTAGACTTCAGAGCGCATTACACAAATAAATCTGACTGCCGAGTAGTGGAATATATACATGTCAAACTGTTTTGGCGAGAAGATTTTCGCTAAATTATTTAAATTAGTATTAAACAATTTTATTGTGAACATTTATTTATTAATATTTATTCAAGATGTTCGTTTATCATCCCCGTGGTGCGGGGGGAACGTGCTCGGTTCGGGTGTGAGAGGTCAGGGGTTTAAATCCCAGTCGAGGCATCTATTTTTTTATTCTTTTTTTAAGTGTCTTTTTAAGGAAATAGTTTTTTTTTATTCGCATGTATCAAACTCAAATTGTTATAGTAAAAATCTAAACGCAGTCGCTGCATCTCTGTGCCATGTAAGATGAATTATAGTATATAAAATACGCTTATTCAGGAAAATACATACATGTATACAGTACGAATTAGATTGCAACGGTCAGAAAATACCACATAGCTTAACCATCATCTTACCATGTTACATTGTCATTTTTCGATCTTGTACATGTATTGTCTTCTTGTATTTTTCCAGGTATTGTCTTCTTGTTTTGTCCTCTGACCATGTTAAAAATTGTAATTTTTCGATCTTGTATTGTCTTCTTGTATTGTCTTCTCGGTCAGCTTGTATTGTCTTCGTGTATTATCTTGCTGTACTTTCTAGTCTTGTCTCTTGCATTGTCTTCTTGTATTGTATTGCTCTTGTATTGTCATTATCTTTTGTATTGTACTTTTGTATTCTCGATTTTCTTATATTGTCTTCTTGTATAATATTCTGTACTTTCTTCTATTATTTCCTGTATTGTCTACTTGTCTTATATTCTTGTATGATCTTCTTTGTCTGTTGATTTGTCTGCCTGTATCGTCATCTTGTATAAACTTCTGTAATACCATTTAATATTGTTTTCATACGGTGGTTTTCATGTACATTGTATCATCATCGCTCGAACGAAAATCTTCTAAAACATTTTGACAAACCTAATTAGTTGGACCACCGAACATAATAAATTTTAAGCATAACAAACCTAAAGTAGATGTAACTGACATAATACGGACGAGTTAAAATTATGCAGTTATATATTTATATAACTTTATATATTTTGAAAACATAAAGAAGCATATATTAAACGCATGATACATGGATTATATGACAGCATTTCAAATTTTCAAGTAGAATAATAAGAGATGAAAATATAGTAGTACAAAAACATATAAAATAATAAGAATATAAAAAGCATAATATTTGAAACAACATCATATTTGAAGATAATAATATTTAAAACAGCAACATACATAACAAAACGACCTTTGTAAAATTACTTCGGTTCCTATGTTCTTTTCTCCGTTCTCCGTCTACCAGAATAATAACAAAAAATAAGCAAATTTAATGTACAGAGACATTCCTCTAAGACCGCTTCTAGTCAAAACTTTGCTATGATCTTTTCATCAATACTCACACAGTTAAAAAATTCACGTTCACTTGCATATTTTTCATTTTGCAATAAAGCACTTAAAATGATAAAATAAATTCATTCATGCAGTTTTGAGATCAATTTAGTGAATAAAATGAGGTTAAATATAACATTATCTAGAGAACATCACATTTTGCAGATGTTATGATCCGCCATTATTATCGTAACAGAAAACACTTCCGCGTTTTAAAATATGATGAACACCACTAAATGATGCATGTGTATATGGTCACAAGCATAACTGAGCTCGAAAGCAGCACGACTCCAGATTCATGCTAATTTTCATGAACATTTTGAAAATGTATTTAAAAGTGTTATATAGTGAAATAACCAAACGGAAGCAAATTAACATTATAAATGGCACTTACAACCCAAGTAAACTACTAAAAAGAGGACAAAATATGTAAAAATAGCCCTTACTGCGTTAGTAACGCAGTAGAAATATAGTTATAAATTCTGAAAAATCAGTCATTAATCGCAAAAAAACATGTAAAATATTACTTGAATCTTGAATATGTTTACTTTTCCTAAAATCTACATAAAAGTACATTTTTCTCAAGTTTGATTTTATTGAAATATACATCTGGAGGCATGCAGCTACATTACATAATGAATTATAGCCCAAACTTTTTTTTAAAGGATAAAAATAATATAATTTTGAATATGTCATAAGGTATATGTATCTTTTGTGCGTGATCTCTTGGTACGTGATTCTAGAAATCAATCAGCGGTTGTAGGAAATGCTGCAAACTCCAAATGTTAAGCATTTTTCTTCGTTCATATTCTTATAATTTTACATCACTCTTTTTATGACATTGATCACGAGCAACTACTCTCTTAGGCAATGTACTTTAAAATTTTAGATTTATCCTTTCTTATTACATTATATCTTATAATTAATAATTAGTGACATTATAGTAGTCCAGATTTTACCCAAAAAGTATTTATTATCGAATGTGAACATATATTTTGTACTTGCAAACGAATATTCAGATAGAATAATTAAGCAACGCGTGGTGTTCAAATTTCCATTTTTTGCATGGAGTTCACGCGATGTATGTAACAAGTTCATATGTCACACTCATCATCTTCTGGGTTAGGTTTCTCTGACTCCATTTCTGAATAGCAGAGATAAACATTCTTGTTGTTCCTGCAACAAATAATTTGAAGAAGGATCGTAAAAGTCACCAACGCCATCATTATACCTCCTAACACAGCTAACACGGATCCAACCGGCGTTTGAACCCCACTCTCGATGTTGAAGTTCATCAAAAGAAACATAAACGCTGGATAGGAAACAAAACAGGCTGAAAATAAGATAATACTAATAATAATAACAATAATAATAATAATAATAATAATAATAATAATAAAAATAATAATAATTATAAAAATAATAATAATAATAATAATGATAATAATAATAAAATAATAATAATAATAATGATAACGATGATGATAATATTAATGATAATAATTACGAGAATAATGATAATAATAACGAAGAAACTAATGATAATAACGATGATTATTATTAATTATGCTACTTCTGTGCTACCAACACCACTACTACTATTACTGCTACTACTTCTACTATTAATAATAATAATAACGGTGATAATAATTACAACAATGAAGAAACGATGACATCAATAAAAATAATGATAATTATAACAATAATTATAATTGTTGTTTTTGTTGATGATAAAGATAAGTATAAGCGAGAACGTGTTAGTGCGTGACTGTATGTAAGTGATGTCCAGAAAGTGGCTATGTGATTTAGCACCCCTGAATGCATGATCTCACTGACCTGCTTATATCTATGTTTGCATCAAGTATAATAGCAGCAAGAAAATACGCACCACAAAGTGACTCTGTCAACAGGAGAAAAACCCATGCTTTTGTAGTCATGTTCACATCTTGGGCCTTCTTAATATTTATGCGAAAGGAGCGGAATTCCCGGAAACTACCAACAGCTATCAAAATCCCTAGTGTATACAGCACCTGAGCCCTTACAAACTCACCATAGCTGAAAACTGAATATTTATTCAATATTATAAAGAAAATCGATATAACATACATAAAAAATGGGTCAAAGATAGAAAAGGCCAGGTTTCATATGTATACAAAATATCATGAGGATGTGATGATACACTGACCATTGATGTTGAAAATTTAACTGAGTCGGTAAACCGGAAGTGGATGAGCATCAGACCTGAAATGGAATCCCACAATATGGGACCACATGTCAATGCTGTGAACCACATATCAAGAGGCTGTGATAAGTAGTTACTGAGAATGTCCTACCAATGACCATTAATTATGTCGAAAATTTAACTAAGTTGGTAAACAGGAAGTTGATGAGCGACAGACCTGAAGTCGAATCCCACGGTATGGGACTAGACGTCAATGCTGTATGCAAAATATTAAGAGTCTGTGATACGTAGTTGCTGAGAAAACTGTTACGAAAATTTCCTACTATTGACCATTAATGTCGAAAATTTAACTAAGTGGGTAAACAGGAAGTGGATGAGCGACAGACCTGAAATTTAATCCCACAGTATGGGACAACATGCCAATGCTGCATGCCAAATATCAAGAGGCTGTGATAAGTAGTTACTGAGAAAACTGTTACGAAATGTTTTTCCCCGCTTACCACCCATCCGACGCCCACCGGCCCGCCCGATATTCACCATACTATAACCTGGGTTTGCACCTGTGCAACAAGGCCAAAAAAGTAGTCGATCACCATACTGATGATTCTATAAATAAAAAGAATCTCAACCCCGAAATTTATTTAAGAACTGTAAGAATATTCTGACCACTTTAACAGAGCTTTTGGAAAACAAGTTCTTTTTTTCTGATTATTAAACGTACCCTTGTAGACCATACTGGTTTACCTTTTAAATGAAAGACCTTGTTGTTGTAGCCAGACGTTTCATGAGCTTGATCAGGTATTCTTGAAATGAGGATAGTTTGAGAACTTGTTCTAAAAAAAAAGTTCTATGATTCCTTAAACATAGAAAATAGCCCAAACAAAAACAACATTTTTATTGCATTTACAGTTAGAACAGAAAATAAGTGAGATTTCTTTTCAATTTTTTTTTCTGTTTAAAGATTAGTCATAACGAGATTAATAAATTCAATATGTAATTCACAAATGTAGGATTCTCATTTATCACATAAACTTTATACATGTAGATACTAGTCATAAAATATGCCAACAGATAATAAGTTGTACTTCCGCCGTTAGTCCATGAATCATCATCACTAACACCATTTAGTTTGGCAATCAAAAATAAATGAACACAAACAAGATTTTTTTTATAAAACAATATAATCGGTTTCAATAAAAGCCAATTATGAAATGAGTAATTTATCAATGGTAATGATTTGGCTTTGCTTAATCTCGCGTAGTTGATCATTTTATAATTAAAATTTTGATATTATGTATTTTGCTAAGCAAGTAACTAGGATGAATCAGAAATCTAAACAGCAAAATTGATCATTAAATATTACCTAAACCAGCACCAGAATATACCATGAAACTTTCAGTTTCATATTCATTGATCCGCAGTTTATGGCACGAGCCGCAGGTTCCCCTCAAAGCTGCGTTGATAAGGCGGTACGTTATAGAATCACATATCATGACGTCATCCGAAAACGTACATTGTGTAATATACCACAGAGAATAGTCTTGAAACACAAGTTTACTGGTTAAAGAAGTACCATATTCTTCTAGAACTGTCTGTCTTGTTTTTATAGTCAGCCAGCCCGGGGCAACAAAACCAACTATCAAAAATATTACACCGATCACGTGTGTCCAGTACAAGAATCCAGCGAAACTGTTAGCGCCTTCTTCGAGCAACTTTTTTCGAGATTGCATCGATGTTCTTTCAGCACTCTGCGTCCCAGCATCATCTCTTTCTGGGTCATATAGTGCATTCACAGGTTGCTCTGCCTGGGCATCTACATTTTCTGATTGGCCTGTGCTTATTAAGCCACTCTGAAATAAGATAAACACATCAATATATCAGTCAAACATTGGAATTCAGTAAAGTTAGTGTACTTTTGTGCTTATTATGAAAGTCTACTTTGTGACACCTCACTGATTACAAGTTATGTTCAACAAAAGCCTTTGTCTTGTTCCCTGCCTAATTTGCTTGAAATATTTTAGATCGTGTAAGAAGTAACGCTGAATTGGGCAAAGTTATGGAGAAAACATACAGCATGGTAAGTTACCAGACAAAAATACTTTGTTATAAAATGAATTAATGCATACAGCGGCTAGGACATACATTGTACATAACAAATATTTCTCTGTTTCTTTTTTAAGGAAATTCGTGGGAATAATGACCTAGCTATCGTTTTAAAGGCGAATTTTGTTTTCCATCGATATTAATTGACACAATAAGTATAATAACGCAGAAAATATAATTGTGAAATATTATCAAGGATAACTAGCGTTCTTTCTGTGCTTCATTCACGAAATTCACACCTACTCATGCATCAAACTGGAATCATTTATATCACTTTTATACTTTCTATAGATGGCCACTAAGGATAATTCCTGTACTATTTTGGACAAGTGGTTTAGGAGATGTTGTTTTGACAACGTTAAACGACGAACGCCGGACACACTGCCATAATTAAAGCTCACCTCTGAGCACCTTATGTAAGCTAAAATGTTCACATATAACTAATGTGCATTAAAAACTAAAATATAGTCGACTGTTAGCTCCATGAAAATCTAAGAAACTTCTTACTCTTTTTATAAAATCTCTAAAAACTTCGTATAACTTGAACTCAGCGGGAAATGTATCTAAAATACACACATTACACGGTTAGCTGTATTTGCATGATTATTCTGCGATTGTACGAAAATATTTTCCAATATTAAAATTAAGCATATTTCCCACACATATGCTCACCTTATTGTGAATCATATACTGGATTTAAATTGACAAAACTGAAACACTTACCTGTTCCATGTTCACTTTATTACCATTTTTTAAATCCATTCATATGCCAGGATGATATTTGTTACACTATATGTCGTTATCCTTAAAATATCATAAGTAAAGTATAGACGCAATATGCAAGGCTTATCAAATCAATATCATCACTGAAGGGAAGGAATTCATTTTACATAGCTCTAAATGTCTTACCAATAACGTTCCCTTTATTGTACAGTTGCACACTTGAAATGTAACTTAAACATATTTTGTCTTAGTGAAGCACGATTGTTACTTCTTTGAATATGTCATACCACACTATTTTTCACTAATAGTCCGTTATAAGGTCGCAACTTTTCGGCCCTTTCCGAATTATCCTGAATACAATAGTATGGATCTAGGCTACGCTTCAAATATTAATAAACACATTTACAAGAAATAATAATTAAATGGTGGGATCCGTTTGCAAAATAAAAGTGTAAAATTAACATAAATTAAATAAGTCAATAGATTTAAAAGTAAACAGTAATTATTTTTAAACTTATTATTAGATTTGTTGAACTCAAAAGTACAATGTTTACCGGTTGACGATATTTCGGATTTGGTGAAAATTGTACGTCAATGGGCATTCTTAAGGCAGACATATTTTTCAATCATAATTTTACCGAAATAGACCTTTAATACACTCGTTTCCCGTTAAATAAAGATCACACTCTCTGTTTAGTTTACATATTAACTCGCGTGGTAGAACTACTTTTAACTTGTAATAAAGCACCCCAAAAGAGAATAAAAAATCAAAGCACAGAAGGCGCTGAATTTGTTTGGGTCTCAGAATGTAAGAAAGGTACAGGTTGTGAGATTATATGTATAATGCCACCAATGCTTTCCAGCGTTTAAATTGTAGAAAATTGGCTATAAGACTGATTGCAACACTGATATTCAATCCAATGTTTATTTGACTTAAACAATTTGAAAAAAAATGAGTTGCCTTTACTGGGATTTGAACTCCAGACCTCTCGCTTCCTAAGCGAGCGCAAAAACCTTTCAGCCACGGTGAATTTATATGTGAACAGCCTGAAGAAAACCATATTATTCGATCTAAATTAGGGCTTGTAACGACTTTAACTGTTGTTTAACACAGATGTAAATAATCCTGGAGCTTACTATAAGCATGTATATTTATAAAAAATCAAAGGGCTACAAGTTCTGTGGTATTTTCTGATCTTTGCAATCTAAATCGTACTGTATATCTGTATGTATTTTCCTATATAAGTTTATTTTTATGTATTATAATTCATTTTGTGAGGCACCAGAGTTTGATAATACGGAATTCTACATAACTAGAGTTGCATCAAAAAATCATTTATGTTCATTTTTTACGACAGCCACACTTTATCCTTGCATATCATGGCTACTTCCTTAACAAAGACACTTAAAAAAAGAATTAAAAAAAAAGTTTCATCGACTGGGATTTGAACTCCAGACCTCTCACTCACTAAGCGAGCGCGTTACCCCTGCACCACGGAGAAGTTATACAAACAGAATCTGAATAACATCAAGTCATTCTAAATTTAGAACTTCCATTGCATCCTTATTAATTTCGAGGTATTTTGTTCAGGATAACCTGTTGTTTAGTAAAATAGTAAATAATTTAGCGAACATCTTCTGACCCGAACAGTCCGACATGTGGAATCTATATATTCCACTACTCGGTTTGTGTAGTATTCGGTAATCGACATCGCTAAAAATAGTATTTTCATTGATAAAATCATATTCATCCGCGTAATTTGTGATTGTGCATTTATTGACAATTCTATAAGCCAACGTTATTTTTAAACTTTGAATGCGTTGTAATTTGTTGGATACTTGTAACAAAATAAAAATATTTCTTTCTTTTAAATCGCTAGTTTAAAGCTGTTTTGATAACTACTTGTTGTTAGGTTTGTCGTAAACTTCTGTGTCAGAGATTGAATGTCCGCTTTGTATTTACTTATTTTCGATCAGAAAATACAATAAAACAATATTAGAAATATTCGACCATTCGGGAATTATTTTGCTTGAATAAAGATGTGCCTGTCTTTGACCAACTTTACGCAGTGATCCCCCCTGAATTTTTCCGCGTTAGTGTACATCTAAAGGGAAGTAACCGCTTCAAAAAAGTGGAGTACTTTCGGCATTTGCAATTAACAGCATTAGACTCTGAAATTTTGCTACCATTATTTGTTTGGTCTGACGACCCAAACAAATAAAAAACCTCGGTAGCATAGAATACATCAAAATAATATGACAATTGCAGACTTGGTTTGATTGAGACTGTTCATGAAAAATAATGAAAAAGTGCAGCACCTCTCACATTCACATTTTAATGTTCTATTGATTAACTATTGTAGTCTTTAACTTGTGAATTCTAAATGGAATATCATTTACATTCAAATATGAAACATGGAATGATTATTTCATTTCATCATCGATCCCCCTGCATATGAAATATTTCTGTATATGAAATATTTAGGTTTAGCGGCTCAGTATACGCTGTCTCCAGTTCTAGACCGTGGCAAATACTTTTACACAAAGCCAACCGTTAATCTGATTAAACACTTTGCCTCAGAAATCCATATCTGTTTAATTCTTTAGAAATGTCAAGCATGTGTTTAATATCAAAGTTTAATCATTAAAGATTAAACACTTTTATTTTACATGTATGACACATTTCTTAATTAATCGATCATTAGAACTGCGTATCAATACGCATGCTCAGTCTGAGAGCTATATTTAGAACGCTATATAAGGAGCTATGTGAGTCCGTTGCGCCCTTTTCGTTCTGGAATTCTATGAGGAAAGGTGCGGCTGATCTTATTTTAAAATTGTTTTTGCAAAAATCTTAATGAATTAGGATTTAAATTTCCCACCCTCCGCAACCCTTTTTTCTGCTGTGCTGTTTTAGGAGTCAACAACCACCCTACACTTCGTCATGACTGGGACAAATGTTATATGCTGGGCGACGAAATACTCAAATTGCAGACGATTGCTAATAGGAAAAACATTTATTTAATAAATTGTTTGATTTGTCGTTGTCGGTGCTAAAGGACATTAAATAACACGTGTAACCGTTGTCGGTGCATATTCATTGTGTTAGTTTGTAATATTCCATATTTGACTACTCCTCTCAGATGAAATTTAACATAACTTTTTTCTATTTGCGAACGTTGTTGGAGCAAATATGAAGTGTAAATAAAGTTCTAAAATTATTTTTATACCCAGTCATGATGGAAATTATTGGCCACAAGAAATAAAATTGTATTTTCTTCTTGTATAAGACTGATTTGAGATGTGCAGTGGCCTCTCGGATTCGAACCAGCGCGTATCTTCCAGAATTCTCTTATTATACATTCATTGGAAAAATAAAAATATTTAAATAATGGATTTAGAGAATGTTAGATGCTTTACAACTGAAAAAGCAGCGCTGAACATGCAGTTAATGTGTCATAAAGGTTGCAAAATGTAAAAAAAAATAGTATCTTGACTTCCATGTACAATGTATAACAAAAGATAGTTTCATGTATGCAGCAAATGCGTATATTTTTGGAAACAGTAACAAGATAAAAAACAAACAGATTTTGAGATACAAAAACTGAAGCATATTGGCCTTTACGCCTTGAATTTTGATTTCGTAAAAGCTTTTTATTTTTGGTATCCTGTTAAAGTTTCCAAAAAGTTACACATCATTGATAATTTACATGAACCATCTTTTACTTCTCATCTTTTTGGCGTCAAGTACAGATACTGTGATATAGTATTTGTATGAAAGTCAGCATACTACTTTAATTACATTACAAATTACTTAACATTTACCGATATTTTCTGTGGGAAATAAGTATCTAAAATAATATATATTTAAGATTATAATTTAAACGTTAAAAAACTCATTTTCCCTTTCAAAAGACGGAAAAAAAAATTTTTACCATTAAAGGGTGCGCTCATTTGTCCGTGTCACGTAAGCACTCATAGGGAAATCTTTTTTCTTGATTGCCTATCGGTCAAAAAACCCAATATTCTTTTTCTAATGAGTGTAGAAACCATAATTAACGAGAATCTCCTTCATTTTCTGCCTATCAAACTCCACTAAAAAGATTTCAAGACTTGAAAAAGTTATCTTATGATATTCACACTACCAAAGCCTGTCTATGCGCCGACACAATAAAGAACGAATATGGATATTCAACAAAAGTCGGCGTTGTCGTATTTTATTGGCAATATCACACGACAAACGCCTTAAATATTTTGAATTGGACTTATTGTTTTTTTTATATATATAAAACTTGGATAAACCCACTTAAATCTGAAAAAAGTCAGCGTTTTTTATTTTATCTGTAAAACATACAATTATTATAAACAAATACGATACAAAATGATTACACTCAACATAACTTCAAAGATACAGGCTTTCAGAGTTAAATATATAAACATGAAAATTCTTTTATTAAAAGATAAAGAAAACACACACATACACATTTTTAACAAAAATTCTCTTAAGTACTCGTACACAGTAACTTCCGAATTCCGAAACTTCTAAAAGTTTTTCAGAGTAATTATTTCTATTGTGAATGAAAAGCGTTGCAATGCTTTTCACTTGAAACTCGGGGTAAGAAAAGAAAAAAAAGAAAATATTTTAATATTTAAACATTTGCAATTACTTATAGGATAATTAAACATGTAATACATGTACATGTACGTACACAATTTATTCTACGTTTGTAATAAAATGGATGGTCTTTAACCCCTTAAAGAGACTCCACTGAGTGCCGGTATTGCAAAACGTTGTTTGATTAATGTTCCATATTAATGTAGGTCTAAATAAATAACTCTAGTGCAACATATCAGGTTATTCGCTCACTCAAGTTTCCAGAATAATTTTATTCTTATTGTAATTGAAAGCATTGCAATGCTTTCCACTTGAGAATCGGGGAAAGAATATTCTTAATAATCTTTTGCATATTTTTTTAAGGACCCAAGATGAACTATGTATGAAACTCAAATTTTATGTTTTTAGCCGTTTAGACCTCAATGGGATTCCTTAAAAAGCTGTATGTGAAAATGAAAGGAATAAATCCACAGAGAAGAGCAAAGTCAATCGGCTAATATATATATATAATATATATAACTACAATTACTTCACTACAAATAAGCACCGTCCCCGGGCTCATCTGTGCAGCTACAGATATATGTGCCAGGTGTTCTGCAGCATATGAGTTGCATAAATATGAGGACAGTCATCAAGGCCATCAATCCTCCGCCAAGACCCGCAAATACTGACCCTAAAGATGCTTCCAAATTCTCGGGATTTTCTCCGCTGAAAACATCTGCTCGTACCGATGCAATCATTGTCACAGAGATGAGTAAGGTTGCAGCTGAAAGTATGAATAGTATGTTGTTTTCATATTTCTTAGTCAATAAACTTTTTACATTTTTACATAATCAACATATAACCTTATGAATTTCGTGAATAGACCTTTAAGTAAAACCAGTATTTTGAAACAGTCTGTTATAAATCGTAGATATATTACAATAATTTATATTTGGACGTTAAACAATCACATGTCCAAGATCAGCATGGACGTGTCGACTAACATGGCCCTTTTCTGGCGACTTTCTTGTTTCGGTTTCAGCATTGTAATATCAAAATATATAACTGAGAGTCATTGTAATTCAAGACTTACATCTAGTGACAATTAGAACAATAATGAAAATATGATGGAACTGGTTAAAAAGAGTTGCTTTTAAAAGATTGTGTGTGATAAAGTTAAAATACTGGTTAGTTAAATACAATTAATTGTACATATACCTGATACAGCAGACACAGTTAACATCAGTAACCACTTCAATCTACTAAATTTTCTGAATTTACCACTTGCGAGCTCATTACGATACCAAGTCCATATATATAATGTGGCAATGGAGAGCAAAGAGCCAGCTGTATACAACGTCTGTACACGGGTGATCTTTGCATGACTCATAACTGTAAAAAGTCAATGAAGATTCTATATTTGTCAAATTGAAATTAAATATTCATTTTAGTAAAACAATACTCATACTAATACAATACTAAACCGTTATGTATAATTTAATCTTCCTTACAGATTTTATGAAACACTTACCAAGTCCTGCTCCACGAAACAGGCACATATCATCATCTCCTTCAAGCTCTCTATCCCCTATTTCAATTTTACTTAAGTCGTTATATTTGTCCCTGTATACATTTCTTATTGTCCGATATGTCATTGTCTCACATTTTTTGTCGTCTACATCATCATATTCATCATAGTCAACACATTGAGTCATATACCATAGTGCATAATCTTGGTAAACATTGTACGTAGCTTTGTAGTCGGACTCTGTTTTCTTGTAAGAATATTCATGATAATATAGACGGTGATTCGCTGTAAATGTTGCCCAGCCTGGAGCAACAAAACCAATCATTAATAAACATATGGCAGCTAAATTTGTCCAGTATAGGAAGCCAACAAGTCTTGAAGCTCCGATCTTATGCACCTCTGCTAGAAGACCTTTCCTATTAATAGACTGTTCAGTATACTGTGTATTTTCGCCTCTGTTTTCTACATTATGTTCTTCTTTTAATGGCTGGCCGAAAGTGTTTCCCTCAAGACGCTTATCTTCCATTTTCTGTCTGTAAATTAGACAAATTATACTAGTAGAGTGAAATTGACCTGCTTGTTAAATATTATGCAGTCATATTATCAGAATTATTGAATCTTAAAACATCGAAAATAAAATCACCTTCATTCAATAAGTTTTCTTTTTGTGTGCGTGTGCACGCCTGTGTATATGTGGTATCGTCTTAACACGTTGGATGGCAAGCAATCAATAAAAAATAGGACTTTAAAAGTACAAAAAAATACATACAAGTATGTTACTGTGTATATTTTACGGATAATAGGTCCTTTATAAGCATATGTATGCCAGCTGCCATATAAGTATTTCCTCCAATTATACGTGATAGTGGAAATACCCTGTAACGTGACCAAAAGTTGAAAGAAAATTAAATTTATGTTTACAAGAGCTTAAAAGCTTAAAAAGATGGGCGTTGTATTGTATAACCTTTCAGGATCTATTTTAGCAGATTTATTGAGGTTCATCAACGCGCACTGTCTTAATCATTTAATAATAATGTATATCAAATATGTCTTCAGTATAAAAATGCATTACATGTTAGCTGATTTTGTAAAACAAAAACCCGTAAATGGGGTGATAAAGAATATATAAAATGTACAAATATGTATTGATAAAAATTAACTCGAAGCGCCAACAAAACACATTTAAGCACTATGACTATTATTTGAAAAAAATATTAGCCTACGCAGTCTGAAGTAATTATCTATTTAAAGATTAGCACAATCAATCAGATATATCTAAAATAGATTATTCACACTGCTTTACTTTTAGTGCTAAAATGTTGTAGGTCTATTTATATAAAGAAATAACAAGTATTCGCGAGATTGCTAAACCTACATTCAATAATTCAGCAAAACAAATATTATTGCTTACCATAGGCATAAGCATGCTGAGAGATTTTGATATTATCAAATACTGACCTAGATCTACTTTAGTAAAATATCATATTCGCGTTAAACTGCTTTATTTTCTCCAAATATTTGTTTTTCACCACTGACCTAAATGAATTATCCTATAAATGTAACTTGTTGGCGCATATAGTCTGACATGAAAAACCGATAGGTCTGACACACTAATTATGTATTACAAATGGCGTTTACAAATCCAAGCTGGATCACTGATATCGGAAAACATTCTGCTGTGGCATTTGTAGAATGTTCTAGTAGCTGTTTCCTTTCATCCAGGTAGAATTGGGAATGTTAGTACATGTATACTTTATACATGTAAAGAAATTTAACCATTTCTCTCTCTTGTTTTTTTGAACATCTAATATTATTATAATTCTCCCCATATCTCAAACTTGTTTAGCACTAGCTTGTTCTTGAACTTTAAATAGTTTTCTTTTGTAGTCGCAAACATGGTCAATAAACTGCCTTAGATGTTCTTCTTTTAAAGCTTTATGTTTGAACATAATTATTCTCTTACGAAAATTGATAAATCAATTACACAACGACTTCTAACGGTTTACAGTTAACATAATAAATGACAGCGTTTGCTAGTTATTTTTTGTTTGGACTTTATGTTATGGTCATATGGCGAATTTTCGCCAACTTTACTGGTGGAGGAAAATCATGCATTATTTCAGATACGAGGAAACCACTGACGTTCCGAACATAAGCTAGCTGGATATCATCTTCACGTTGGGAAGATGTAGTCATTACCCACAGTAGTGAGGGGCATGTGAAGATAAAAAACAAGGCCTTCACAACATTTAAAATTCGGGTAAAAAAAACAGTGCGCTTTATTTTAAATTGATTTCCTCTCTATTTTATTGGCTGAAAGTTCCAAACATGTCTTTGCTATTTATAGACAATTTGTACTACTTTGGTATTAGTATCTATAAAACATTATATATTTCATTGGAAATATTCCAGTATTGTGACTAAGTCTATACATAGTATCAGGTGAACAAGCAAAAACATCTACGCGAATATTGCTTGTACAGATCTACATTATACTGTATATATGATATTATGATAAACTTAAGAAAATATACAAATGTTTATTTTAATCTTAATTTGTGGAAACATTCCAAAAGATATTATCATTAAAACGTTATGTATTTCCAAAATATCATTGCCCACAATTCATAGACTCATAATTTTGCATTTACTAGTATCATTAAATAAAATAAAACAATTATTGTACAAATACAAAATTTTACTTATACTGTATATCTTTTAAACTGAAATGTGTGGTCTCTAACAACTTAAGAGTGAAAATGTAAGGAATATTTCAACACTTAAGAACAATTACAACCTGTTGAACAGTATTACATGTACTTATTTCATCTTAATATATCTTTAAAAGTGGTTAAAACTGACAATAGTTTGAAATAATAATAAACAAAGAAAAACATATCTGAAAACACATAATTTGGTTAATTATAACAGATATCAATAGGATTTGATGAAACAGAAAGAGAAAAATAAGGCAGGTCTAAAATCCAGGTTTAGAAAATTAACATACTAAGTTGTAAAGCTACCCTATTTTTACACATCATTTTACGCTACAACCTCAAAATTTTTCTGAAATAAAGATTTTGTTTTCAAGAAAAAATAGCATAATCTGACCAGACAAAAAGAAGAAAAAAATACAAGTTTGCTTCCAACAGGGAATGCACCCACATCCGTGAAAACGGGTTTTACTTATTGAAAATGAAAAATCTTCCCGAAAAGAGGTTATGCATTAATACCCTAAAGCATTGAAACTTACAACAACTGGACACTTTGATTGCACATCTCTAGATCTATGGAAAAAAACTTGAATCAGATTTTATCTTAATACATCAAATGTACATAGATATTTGTATTCGATATAATGGAGAAGCAGCTAAGAATAATTTAAATGATGAAAATACATTTTTGTTTGCACGTATTGTCCTAAAGATACTTTGAACACACATTAGCAAGCATTAGTAAGATAACATAACTGATATAATTCTCTATATAATAAATATGTCCAAAATGATCAGTTCTCAACGACAGAAGCACCTTTCCCAGACTCATCAGTACAGCTACAGATATATGTATCAGGAGTCCTGCAGCATAAAAGTTGCAAAAATACAAGTATAGCCATAATGGCCATCAACCCTCCACCCAAACATGCAAATACTGATCCTAGAGATGTTTCCATTTTCTCATCATATTCTTCTTTGAAAACATCTCCCCGCACCAAAGCAAACACTATCACTGGATCGAGTAAGGTAACAGCTGAAATAAAAAAATCCCATGTTTACATATTTCTCTTAAACTGAATAAACGTTTCAATACACTTATTAGCTTTCATCGGTTCATTATCAATTGTAAAGATATATCGACGAATCAGCCACATATATGGCAGAATATTTAGAATGGGCGCCAACACTGGCAATTATTATCATTTTTTAATTTGTCTTATAATGAGCGCAGTGAAGAATAACTCTGTAATTTTCTACACGTTATTAGAGGTTGGGAACAAACTATATATGTATTGAAAGTCTTAACATTGCAACGCTTTCCGGAAATTTGATATTTTTTTTTATAACTATGAATAAAACAACAAAGGCTAAAACGTGTACGCGATAATTTTTTAGGGAGCATCTAGCTCATATTATGTTGTTTTGGAACATCTGGTTGTAATGAAGTATGAAAGTGATGGCCGAGAGAAAAGTAAATTGTTTTTATTTGAGGGAGGTGGGAGTATTTTTAACATAAGTAAATAAACTCCTACCTGATAAAGCAGACACGGCTAACATTATAAGCCATTTCAATCTGCTCAAACTTTTGAATTGACCATTTGCCAATAGAGCACGATAACCAGTCCATATATATAAGGTACCGAGGGAGAGCAGGAAACCAGCTGTGTAAAGCGTCTGTACACGGGTCATTTTTGAAAAGTTCATAACTGTAAAAAATAAACCATTTTCAATTAAGCATTTTGTATTTGTTAAATGAATTCAAGGAGATACATAATTTTTAAATAATATTAAGAATTGGAAGACAAATTGGTACTAACACATTAATGATAAATTGGCAAGTCCTTTATATGCTCTACGCTGGGTTCCGTGTTGGTAGTTTTGTGCTAGTTGATGTAGTTGGGGCTGCGTTCATTGATTCCGCCTTCCCTTAGAGATCTTTGTACTCATATCTGATAAATCTTCCCTAAAGATTTTATGAACCACTTACCAACTCCTGCTCCACGAAACAGACATATATCATCTCCTTCTAGCTCTTTATTCCCAATTTCAATTTTACTGTACTCGTAATATTTGTTCTTACATATGTGACCAATGGTCCGATACGTCATTGTTTCACATTTTGTGTCGTCTACATCATCATATTCATTATAGTCAATACATTGAGTCATATACCATAGTGCATAATCTTGGTAAACATTGAAGACAGATTTGTAGTCGGCCTCTGCTTTCTTCAATGTGTAATCCTGATAATACAGTCGGTGATTGGCTGTAAATGTAACCCAGCCTGGTGCAACGAAACCAATCAGTAAAAAAATTATGACAGCTAAGTTTGTCCAGTAAAGGAATCCAACAAGTCTTACAGCTCCAATCATTTGCACCCCTGTTAGAAGACCTTTCCTGTCAGTAGACTGTTTATTTTCTTCTCTGTTTTCTACATGGTACACTTCATTTACATGATGGTCGTCAGGATTTTCTGCATGTTGAATATCTTCCATTTTCTGTCTGTAAATTAGACAATTTTGATAATCGTTTTGATCGATAATTTTCATACCATATGTTTGGAAGAATTTTTGCTCATAAACTTGTGCTCTCTTTACTGTATCTGTTTAAAGCTAGCCATAAAAAATCGATTATAATACCTTTAAATCTTTCTTATTTTAAATTTTATTTATAAAATATATTGACAAGTACGTTGGTTGGTCATCAAGGACTGTAACTGATCTTAACAATGGTCAACATGCTACAAAATATTGTTTTAATTAAAGATTTAGATAGAAAAGATTCATACCCGTTTATTAAAAATTGTACATTCTATGTCAAAATTTATCTTTATTTGTTACAAAGATGAAATAAGAAATCATGCATGAACAAATAAAATGTGTTATCAATTTTTGTTGCAGGCCAAAAATTTACCAAGCAGACAGAATCTTAACGCAACAGCACCCTGACGGTTATTACGCTGTCTGAAGTAGTTATATATATATTATACATAAAAACATTAGCCCATACCTAAATTAATCCGAATTTTGTAAAACATTGCACTACATTTTCATAGACAGTGCACACTGTCTTGTTGATAAAGTTGCATTTCTGCATAGAAATACCTGTAATATTCGAGAACTTGTTTAACCTTCATGCACTTCATAAGCTATAACTGCATTCGTTTGTACTTAGCATTGCAATGCTAGGCCGGAATAATCTCATATTCTGCAGCAAAAATCAACAAGTACTGACCTAATTCAGAAAATATCACATTCCCTTGAAATAAACTGCTTTATGCACAATTATCGTTCCGACTTTGAAAATGATATATCTGTTCTGGCCGATTACATAAATGATATTACAAATGATGTTTATAAAGCAATCTAGTTCGCTACGAGAAGTGTCGATCGCAACTTTTCGGCACTTTAGCATAATTACGAATGGAAAATTTCTCTAACTCTATATTCCTTTATTTACTTTTGTGAAAATCAATATAAATTAACTTTTTAACAATGTAATTTTTTTAGGGTTTTGCTCTTTCCTTGACTTTTTGTACACCTGCTATCATTATAATTATCCCTCTAATTCCACTTTTTATCACTTAAAAAATCAGCTTTAAATAGTTTTTTTTATTTTTCGTCACACAACTCACAGGTTAAAAAGCCTGAACTTTAGAAAGTTTGACCCGTTTTTGCAAAAAAAAAATAAAAGACACTAACTCAAAAAGTATTCAAAACAAACTGCTCCAAGTATAATACACTTCTTCTTGAAACAATTTATTAATCAATGAAATGGTACTTCTATTAAAATATCAAATTTTCATCAATCCAATTAAACTCAACTTTATTACACTAAATTAAAGTCGACCCAAAATGCATGCAAGATAAGTACAAAAGTACGATAAGATTAACATGTAGAAAATTCATGTAATTGAAGTTATCACGAAGTACAAATATGATTAAAAATGACGCGAAAGATGTTGCATTTTTACAGTATCTTTAATAAACAGGCTATAAAAACCAAGTCTACAATTTTCATGTAAATATTGTTGTTTTCATTGCTTCCAAAGAATCACCCTTTTTCCAGATTTGTGGTGGTAGCTATAGAACAATAATATATGTCATATGTTGCGATTTAAATCGGAATATCAGTTCCGAGGGGACCACGAAGATTCCATGATAACTGCCGCATGAACACATCTGCAGATTTTCTTAATTCAAAATTTCACCATTACCATGATTAAATGTTGAATTCTGCTTAAGCCGGTGCTAGGGGCGTGGACGGTTACTTGCACTTTCCAGTACCGTCCATGAACAAGCTCAATCAATCAGAGCCTGCAACATTTTCAATTTTAACGTGTTGAGCTTTCTTTAGAGATTCTGTTTTTCTCTATTTTAAGACCCCGTTAGGGGCAATCTGTTGTTTCCGTGAGCAAGAAACTTAACACGCATTGCTTAGTAATGGTTGGTTCAAGGAACGGAATTGAGAGTTTTTCAATTTGCTTATAACTTCTAACACAATCGAACTAAAATATATTAGTATAGATTTAAAACAATTAAAATATATATTAGCTATACTTTTGCTATTACATCTCTGTAGCAATATATTTGCTGCAGTTAAGTCCTTAGACAAAGTACTATATATTTTCAAAGATCATGAATTGACGTTATAACAAAGCTTTACATATTACTTGACACAAAAGGGGCATAGAATGAAAAACTATAAAAAAGTAAGGTACAATATTGATGTCTGATATATACTTTTATTTTCTTTATTTCTGTTATATTAATAAAACGTTTCATGCACATGCATACTTTTTGCTTCTTTTAACAAAGTATGTTGCGGCATGGCCGAGTGATTAACGCTTCGGACTAGTAATCTTATGATCGCTAGCCGCATGGGTTTAAACCCTGACAGGGGCAAGTCATTGTTTCCTTGAGCAAGAAACTTTACACTCATTGCTCAGTACTGGTTGGTTCCAGGAACGGATTCGAAAGTGTGTTTATAAGCTAATAACTTCCTACACAATCGAACTAAAATAAATTCTGTATAAACCAAAGTATGTTGCCCCATCTTGAAAAAAGGTAATATATTGTTTGACAAAAAGTAATCCAATACGTCTTATACGTGATTCAATTCCAGATGCAGCTCTTTAGTTTTATCATTCTTTAATAGTTGTATAAAACAAAATCATGTTTACCATACCTTCAAGTTGATTAATTAAAATACGCAAGTGATTATGTGCAAAAAAGTATCAAAAGATATCCTTTATGTTGAAATGATTATCAAAATAAATGTATATAACACAAATATGATATGCAATAACATAACAACATTTTGTTAAGAAACACATAATAAAAATAAATACATAGATTTTTTTTACTTTAAATGATACAGAACAGTCATAAAAAAATAATAAATATAATAACAATTGCTCTTAATTGAATAAAATACAATTAAACATAGCGTTATTCAATAAAGTATTACTTAAAACACATAAATATAATAATTAAGGTGTATTATACAATAATGGTTTCAGTTCATATTTAAATCTATATACAAACATAGGTAAAAGGATGCACACCAGAGTACTTCACTTCAGTGTTGTCACTCCGGGGTCATTAATTTCAGCACATTGAGTACCGCTAAAGTCTATGCGATGTTGTACTATTTCATTATTCCTCTTGTACAGACTAAATCAAACCGAGTCTGCAGTTTTCATGTTATTTTGTTGTTATTAATGTATTCGAGGGATCACAATTTTTCCAGATATCATATGTTTAACATTGTTCTAACTGAATGAGTTCCTGAGCGTTGTCAGTTTCTATGACTTACAGAGAACAGAACAAAATGGCATTGTTTCTGAAACCCTCTTTCCTTGAGTTTCTAGTATTTTGAAGTTATCCTCACATATGTTCTTAATAATATTAGAAAACATAACAATGCAAAAGGAATTCAAAATAAAACGTAACATAAAATATTTTCAATGTCAAACGTGAGTTTTTGTATGTACATGCACGTGGTTCTTTTGTTCTCTATTGACCCAAATCCATTTGTACCATCTGAAGTAAATAAAAAAAAAATCGACAGCCACAATTTCTGTTTGAAGACGGATTCAAATATTTTTCTGTTATCACAGACGTGTATATAGAATGGCCATGGTACACGCTGCTGACTCCAGTATTATTCAAGCTTCGTTTGCCGTAATATAATATATAATCCTCTCGCAGTTCTGGCTACTTCCGTACACAATAAGTTTATTGTAAATTACCAGTTTTATTTGTATAACTTATATTGCTTTCAATATTAATGGGATTTGCTGTAAATTCAACAAATAAAAGATAATACTTCGTCATTACAGTTTGAAATACAAAAACACTAACATATTACGTGATACAAAATAGAGAATATAGAAAAAACAAATTCCTAGGGAGAAGTATAAATATTGGAAACTGCGAGATCTATTCTTTGTTCATCATTCCTAGATGTCACTATCTTCGTTTTCCCTTCCTTGCCGCCTTATATGCATTCTTTTTCTCCGGTAGCATAGGCATACCTAATTTCTTTCTAAGGGCGTTTGGTATGTGTGGATTCGAGTTGCAGTGACCATGTCGATTTGGAATATCTGACTCCCGATAAATATGTATTTGTACATTCGAACGAAGGTCCATCTCGAACTCTGTCCATACCTAATGTAGATAAGTTTACATTGAAATGATTTTAGTTATGTATTTTCTTTCACGAAACTTGAATAGGTGTATAAAGAATACTGATTTCTTTGTTGTTGTTTTTTTTTCAAATTACTTTATAGCTTAATCTTAATCGATGTAAATCACAGCGAGTTCACGTCTTAATATTTCAAATATTACCAAATGCAATTGTAATACTTTTATTCCAAATGTATAATTCAGCAGATAATTTAATGAAAATAACTTGCACATGCGTATAAGCCAATAATGAAGGTCTGAGAGAAAAAAAAATAAGACGTTATTTACCAAAATTAATCAAAACTGTCATACATCATGAGCAGTAGTAGGATCAAGCATGAAGAAACGTCTTACATTCTTAACTTAAAACAGTTTTCAAGTACAGTCTTCTAAATGTTTTTTAAACAGTTAATTGCAATTTACCATATTACGGGATACCATTTATTACTGTTGGTATGTTCTCAATGGCATTGTTAATTTTGTAAATTTTTAAAATTTAAATATGGCACCATAACCTTTACAACTTTAAGCAGATGCATTTGCTAGTATCTAAGCCAATTGCAAATACATGTAAATTTGTTACCGAGGCTCTTCTTGTTTCATCATCTGTTAATGCATGTACATCCTAATTGGACATTTTTGTTTTATTAAAATATCCTTTCTTTATGATTGACCTCCTTTATAATTTGTACACGTAAACCATGTTTCTCACTTTTATTGGTGCTCCTGTTGTATCATTTTACAAGATATATATGTGAAGCATTTTGTATTTAAACAAATGTTGATTAATTATACCTCTTCTCCGAGAAGGTTCTTAAAATTGCGAGCCATTTTCTTCTCTGGCAGCCATTGGTTACCATTGTCGAGAACAGGATAAGTCTCGTACTTGCCTGAAATGTTTCTAGCAATAAATTAATATGGCATCGGATATCTAACTTTCATGTAATTCTTTACAGATATAATAATGAATACAACATTTTGTTATATATTAATTTTAGGACACACAACAGTGTTGATTGTTCATGCAAGCCTATTCGCCCACATCTCCTGACGAAAACTCTAAACAGGGTAGACTCCTCAATGGAAAAAAAATAAAATATTGATCATCGTAGTCTCTGGGTTTGATTGAATAATGCATAATTATGGAATATGCCCCTTTTGTAGGCAACTTGCCCTTTCCAGTACCCCTCATGAACGAGCTCAATCGATCCGGCCCTGCAACATTTTCATTTTTGTCGTTTTTGACTCTCTTTAGGAATTATATTTCTTCAACACTAAAAGTATTGGAATGGATAGCCAAGAAGGTACAGGAAAAAAAACACTGAGAAGAAAAGCGGGCAATTCTTTTAATGTTTCTTTTCTTTAAAGATCAGAAACTTTACAATATTTTTTTCATTTTATTGAATTGGTTGTGTTTGTATTTCAAAAACATGACAGCAAAGATCAAAAAGTTTTACATGAAGGGCAAACATGATACTGAAGAATGTTTATAAATGCTCGACCTTGAAGAACAATGAAAAAAAAGAACAAATTCAAAACAGTAGAAGTAATTTAAAACTAAATGAGCGTTGCAAGAGTATATTATCTCTAACAAAAAGTCATTAAAATCTTACCTGTCAACAGAATGTGTACCTTTTCCTTCACAAAAGGTAGGTCTGTGTCAGGAGATACAGATTTTATGAATAACTCTACCAGTTCACTGAAGCCTTCTAGTCGACTTTTGTGAGTATTCATCAAATACCCTTTAAAGTAAGACACCAAAGATCTATTGTGATTTTTACAAACAATATCATTACAACAATTCTATCAATGTTGTAAGAACACAAAGAAAACCAAATACATCATAAAGTACATAAAACCATTACTTACTTATTTAATATACTTATGCTATTTAATGCTTTCACTATTCTAGTCGTAATCTTAAACAACGTTATCATATTTTGCCAAACATCATTTTCATAGAGTATGATTTAAAAATAAACAACATTATCTATTTCATAACTATAAATATATAATGATTATATTTATAGTTCTCATTTTCATTCACTGTGACCAACAAACAAGGCGATAAAATATGTATAAACTTACCAACGAACGCCCAAGGTGACGTTGCCATCAACATGCAGTAATTTGCTCTCTTCCACAATGCTCGGTCTACAGCATTTTGTCTTGCACTTTTCTTGAACTCATCAAGATACTCGTGATTTAATTTGATTATTTCCAAAACCACTTCGTTCCCTTCTAGATTAAAAGAATTAAAAATAGAAATGATAATTTATATAAACAAACAAAAAATCACAAAGACAAAAACACCAAAGCATACAATATCAAGATATTTTTAAACGCACAAACAGACCAGTATTGTGTAAACCAGTAAACCCATTGGTAATTTTATCATTATAACAGGAAGAGTGTAGAAAGATCAAATAATTCTTGTATTACATATACATGTATTTTATATACAATCTTTAATAGAAATTGGTTTAGATTTCCTAACAACTCTGTACATGTAACTTGAACATCGATATAAACATAGGTTTCATAGATTCTCTCATGACACTCTTCACTTATATTATTTTTCCCCAAATGGACTATGTCAGAACCATTTTTTTTTTCTAAATACTGTACCTATACTCAGAATTATTCAGTTTTGTTTTTAATAATGTATCATATGAATAAACTATCTAAGCTTACAATATTTTTTTTATATTTATCAATCTTGACACATATCTTATGACTTTTATAAACTTACCTTTAACATCAAACATCTTCTTATCAGCAATAGCTACACGTGCGCTACTGTTACTATGAAACCGCACAGCTTGACATAACATTGCACGAATCAATTGCACCACGTTAACTTCATTATCGACAAGTTTGATAATCTGTGTAAGACAAATTCTTCTTTCTTTTTTGTTTTTGTTCTTATTTTTCTCTCTTTGCGCACTCATTTCCATATATCCATCTTCGTCATCATCGTCATCATAGTTCATGTCATCATCGTCATCTTCATCGTAGTATTCAGTTTGTTCTTCACTGAACGGGATGTCTTTTTCTAATTGCTAGAAAAACAAATAAAACATTTTATACATTATACAGTACCGATTGTAACATCGGCGAGAAAAAATCTATTGATTTTAACGTTATATAATGACTGCAAATATCTGACAACTTAGGACTTTGTTAGGGGGGCGTATATTGCACCTTCATGATCTCATATGAACTGCCTAAATGAAACCGGATCTGCTATTTTAACCTCATTACAAGTATCATTGCTCCCGAGGGATTCCAAACTTTTTACGTTTAGCATATACCTTTTTCTAGATAGTTGATAAAATTTACTGACACATTTGCATAAATTTGAAAACTGATTGTCATTCGAATGCAACCCATTACAATAAACATGAATATAGATTAACACTGTGTATCTGTACAATAATTTTAAATATTTATAAAAATGACATATTCGAAGAAATGATATACTAACAAACAATTATAAATTCGTGTTTAATTTTTGACCGATTTAAGGGCCTTTGTCCTACGTAAAATATATGTACATGATGATAGTTTAACCTCAGTTGGCTCCAATTACAGATCTCTCGAAATAAATTCCCAGGCCCTCCGAGTTCGAACGAACGTAGGTTGACTAGTAATCTACGGGTAAATACTGACCATGAATTTTAATTCAATTATAAAAAATAACATCCTATATAATTTTGTCCCTTTATTTACTTAACAGAATGACATCAGACGTGAGTACCCAAAACTGTTATTATTAATTTTGTATGAATTCGTCAACCTGTTTAAGTATTTCCGATTCCATATCTTTATATATATATATATCAAGATAAGCTTGAACATTTCGTCATTTTTTTGTCTTTCATACTTTCTTTCACATGTTCTATAACACTCTTTAGAACCTCTTTTTCTTTTTGCAAAAATTTCCATCATAAGAAGATGTTATGATACAAATATGATAGACAATTAGAGCTTTGATTATCCTGGTATATTTTAATAAATTTTCATTCCAATGTTTGTTAAGTTAGTATGATTGAAAAATAAGAGGCAAAAAGACAAGCTTAAACATTTAATAAATAAAGAAAATAACTATTTGTACCTCAGTGTTAGTAGGCTCTCCGTCTATTACTATAACAGTGACGTCCGACTGAGTTGATGATACATTTCTTTCTGCTAATGTGTTTGCTGTAATATAAAAACCATTTGTTTGAATTATGTTTTCTAACCTATAGTGCGATATGTTTTCGATTGTTTTCAATCAGTAGGGATATTCTTCTCTGTCCAAATTCAGAACTCCGGAAGGAATTACAACAATTTTGAAAATTCATATAAGCATTGAAACTTTTCGATTATAAAATATGTTAAAGCTAGGATTCAAAACCGAATAACGGGAAACTACCAAAGTCAAATCTTAAGTACGTGTACGATACAAGTTTATTTCAAACTTAGATACGAACATGTAAAAAGCACATGTACTATTACTATTACTATATGAGGTGCATAATTATCTGAAGCTTGTAATATATGTTTAACGATTTATTACCCTTCCAGATTTTTCCGCCTTTTTGATTGGATATTGATCACCCGAAAGAAATTGACATAACCGAGCAAAACGGGTAATATAAACACTAAATTTTCCCGTTAGGTACCCAACGTTGTACACAACATGCGCTGAGGTGATGCGCGTAAGGTTCGATTTTACGCGGTGTAAATTCAGATTTAAAAGCACTTTTTAACTGTCAAATGATAAATATTTACCAAAGTAGAGTAATGATACATATTACCATCAGTATCGAAAACAAATATAACCTTGTGAAAGCTTGATATTAATTACAAAAAAGTGCGTTCAATAGACTACTCCTTTTCTCTTGTTTACATTCGTTAGGTACGGGAAAAATACTTCATGTATTTATGTGACGTCATGTTGTGACGAAGAGGTACCCTAAAGGGAATCTTATTTCGACGTTTCATTTGAAACAGCAATGATATCACCCTAACGGCTTGGGTGATATAAAATCTTAGCAGGCAATATATCCACATATATCACTCCAAAACCATAATCATAATTTTATTACCATTCCTCTGCCAAGTTTAGACGATTTTTTGAAAAATCATTGCTGTTTCAAATGAAACGTGGAAATAAGATTCCCTTTAAATAACATATAATGTTGTGATATGTCGAAAATTGTAAAATATATCACCTTTGCAATACTCTATAATTACAAGATTTAATATTATACTCACTTTTGAGCTTCACATATGAATCCATTACTGCACACTTGATCTCTTCAATCCAGTTGTCAGGTGCTATCCCACTGTTAGCATCAATTTCTGTCATGTTATGTCCACAGTTCAACCATGTATTTACAAATGCCATGAGACTAGGTACAGAAGTGATGCCCGGATATGCGGACTTAGTAAGTTTATTATGAATCTGAAAATGTCAGCGCAATTATGAATATTTTTAGTTCATTACTACGGTTATGATTTATTTATTAAGCCCTAAACATGTGGCGTTATCTCAAAGGTGGTCATATGTCTTGTATAAAAATATATGCTTTTGTGTGTGAACAAAAGGGACAAATCATACAGCTTGTTAAAACGTATTCTCTAATACTGCAACAATATTAAAACAACTTGTCGTGTGAGAAATGATATTCATAATTTTAATTATTTCATCATCGATCTAATAAGAGCGCTGAATTACGCCTATTTTGTTCTCATTACAACTATTTTCAGACTATTTGGAGCGAATTGGTTGTAAATCCTTCTTTATGTCGTGTAAGCTAAAATCGTTTTCGCATCAGGCCCTTCAATTCTTAAACCCACGATAGGATCCTTACGTTTTAAAGACAGAAAGTTTCAAGTAAAGATGCTACATGGAAGATATACACCTATCTAAAATCTTACCTTAGCTATGACTTGTAGGGTATATTCGGTCATATTTTCGACATCATAACTTTCTTCAGATGACGTAGTTTGCTCTTCTGATTTACTTGTACGACATTCTAATTCTTCCTGTACTTCGTCACGATCATAATCACCTGAAGAATATGTAGTTTCTACTTCACCATCACAAACGTTTCCCTCTAGATGTTCAGATATTGTAGAAATAACATTCGAGTCGTTTACCCAGCTGTGTACAACACTTAACGCAGATTTATATTTCTTCGTCTGATCAAGATTCTAAAGAACATATAGAGCACTGACATGTCAAAACAACAACTGTAACACATAATTCAGATGAAAATAGCTCAGAAGAATAAGTTGTTCAACATAACATAGTTCAATGGCTTCGACTTTAAACTATTAACATTTCGTTTCAACGGAGACAATCAATTTTAGCTGCAAAGCAGTAAAAGGTGTTTACATTGATATCAAAGTGAATACAAGTTGTTATTCTTGTAGAATACCTGATTACAATAATTTGACATCACTTGCATATTAAGTTCAGTTTAAATGTATTATATACAGTATTCATAGATCCCTATTCTGTCCAATGCTAATTATCAGATTAGTGGATACAAAAGGAATATCACGACAACATATTTGTTAACAAAAGAGCACATGTTAATGTTTGTGTTATTCAAATGAAAGGTCAGAGAAGGGATCTATCAACTGACATTACTAGTATATGTATTTGGTTCCACTTATATTCGATAGAATTTACGTGTCTAATCACTTAATGCCTTCATAAATTAGCTGGTTTTGGTAAGATATCGTTTAACTACCTTCTGAAGCCCGGTTTTTTGCTCTGCCCATATTTCCATTGCTTTATCTATCTTTTCAGAGTGCTTAAGTTCTATTTTAGATTCCAGATCTTGTAAACCAGAGGCAGGATCGAACAGAGGGATGTCAACATTACCGCTGGTTTCTTGGAGGCAGAGTCGTTCCAATTCTTTCGCAAAATTGCATACAGGCTTCTGTTGCAGTTTTGTTTTCTCTGTTTCTGTAATTTTATATATACATGTATAAAAAAACTTAAAATAGCCTGATAGTTTAAGGTTAAGGGAGGATAAGTGTTATGTTTGTTACACTGATATTGTTCGAATCATTTGATTGTTTTCAAAAATAATAACTACATGTAGTCAAAATATAAGATGCTTAAGAGCGCATTATCAAATGCATATACTTTCACTTGGGAAGAAAGGTAGGATGTGATGGGATCTGATAGAAATTATCGTCCGTAAACAATACTTGAATTATATACTAGACTTAACTTTATTTTCCACTTAAAAAAAAACAATCATATCGGGAATATATCAGATACTCATTCAACCATCAATAAATGGCTTCGTATCAAAATATCTAAAAAATATCTAAAATATATTAGAAAGTCTAGTCATGTGCCGTATTCTATGAGTATATTCTAAAGAGTTAAGATATGACCAATAAAAGCATAGATACTTAACATTTTCAATTGTGTATGTAATCAATGACTTTTCGTTTGTTGGTATTACTATTGATAAAGAAAAAAGTGACAGGAGATATATTCTGGAGGAAAAAATATGTGAAGATCTCAGCCTGCACAAAGTTAAAGTCATAGAAATCACACTAGCAACCGGAAACAGGCAAATGATGTTACGTAACGAGTCCTACCTGACATGCTGACAACATTAACCAAACTGTTAATAATTCCGTTAATTTCATTTAACGGAGTGTCTTTATACAAGGGTGAAGCAGCCCGTCGTAACCATTCTGATAAAAATGCCAACCAGAATTGCTTTAATGATTCTGAAAATGGAATGATAACTCGTATAAAGATAAACAATATAATATATAATGACAATAAATTGATCTATGATTGTTTACGTCCATTATACACAAAAATAGAGAAGAACTGAATTCTTAAAGAACCTAAAGTATCTGTTTTTAGGAGACAATAGATAAGATTACATAAGAAATACGCAATTTTCACCAATTCTTTACATGTTTGAATCTCGACACCAACTTTCATATAAGCTGTACATGTGGATAGTCATCAATAAAATTTCCTACCATAATTTTGACATACATACATACAAATATTTAATACCCAAGTAAAGCAAAGAACTTGTCATCGACAAAGAAGGATTTTGTATTTAATAATATACAACTGCACAAAAATCATGCATTCGTAACATATACTAAAGCATTTAATAATTTACAAAATCCATAAGAATGCCTCAATGATAGAATACATAATACGGCTAATATGCATTTAGCCAATATGAACATGAAATTATTTCGAATCGAATTCATTTTTACCAGCCAATGGCAGCAGATTCATTGCTTCAAGCTACTTGACTTCTTTGTAAATTGCACAATTATTTTGTACGTTTAATATCATATTATCACGGATATAAAATGGCCTTCCGGTCGGTTGTAAATTTGCCAAATTTATTTGGCGCTTATGGTCTTTACAGAAACTTGTAACGCACATGAAAATTCCTAGTTTTATACAATTCTAGATAGAGTCACAACTTGTGTGAGGTCATCGCAACAGGCACGTTTGAAAGTCGTATGCTATAAATCTTTATAATTGAAATCTTATGTACATTTACCTTTATCAGGGAATACTTCTTTCTGTTTCTCTACCGGCAGTGCCACGATGTATCCAATAAGAGTATGGAGATTTGGTATGATATCTTTTGTTCTACCAGCAGGAGAAGCTACAAATTCTTTGACGACTGCCGTCACATCAGATACCTTGTCAAAGTCTTCTAAACATGCTGTGAAAATAGAGACGCTTTAATATCAAGCAAAAGGTGGATTTAATAAAACAAAAGTTATCCAACAAACTTAACTTACCTTCTTTTCTGAAAATGTTTTGCATAAAGAGATGTATCGTATTCTGAATGCTTGTTAATTTTATGATTCACTCCACGTATAATTTTTCGTTTTCAGATGATAGTAATAAAGAAGAGTTCTAGGTAATATATCACCTCGATGCCTTTACCACGTGAATTTCGACAGAACCGTGAAGATTTTTTTATACTTTTGTTTTAATATTTTATTAAATTTAATGGATTAAATTGAAGAGTTCGCTGACAATATCTGCTTATTCAAATATGCAGTTTAACTTGATGTCAAAAATGCTGAAATTTCAACCTACCCCCTTGAAAGAGAGCAAGTCGATTATGTCTTTATGAAAGAAATTTGATAGTCTTTTGAGCGAATGACACATTAAAAAAATTATAGATTTAAACAGGGTCTTTAAAATAGACACTCTTTCTTTTTGATAGACCCTGGTTCAAAGATAAAACCTATACAAATATGAGAAAAAACATAATATCGTTTTCGAACATATTTTTCTGTTTACGTACATTTGTAATTTGTGTAAAACAACATAGGCATTCTATGTTACAACTCTCTGGAAAGGCGTATGGCGCAGACAACATAATTGAACCATTTTTAAATTCTATAAAAAGTTATTTAATTAGACATAGCTTCATACACGTTAAGAAGTTATAGAAGAAAATAAAACCTGATCAGACCGTCTTTTGTATTTCTTTTCTGGCCATCGTGAGTATGAAATATCAGGTAAATCGTGGATGAAATAATTGTTTCATAGATTCGAAATGAGTAAAGTATCACCAGGAGACCTACCTACACATGTTCTTAATACAGCAAAGAGTAATTTTAGTTGATGTTCACCAATTGACTGGTCTGACAGTTGACCGATCATAGACCCAAGTACCATAAACATCACGTCAAGTTGCTTAAAATGATATCCTAGAGGATCTAGTGTACAAAATGAGCCAAGTGCCGGTTTCAATATCACCTGTAATAATAATAGTTGTTTTAATAAATTATATTTATAATAATACAATTATAATGCAAAATGGTGAAAGATACAAGTTGCAAGTTCGTGGTTTCATTTCATAAAAAACTTAGTGAACATGTTGACAAATGTACATACTTATAAACTGTTTTCAAGAAAAGTGATTTAAAGGTAAGTATTCACTTTCTGATTCAGGTAATACCAAACAAAATCTATTTTATGAAGTGGAATATTGCAAGCTTTACTTCTTGATATTAAATCACTCAAAACACTTTTACAATAATTTCACCTTTATCCTGTTCCAATGTGACGCTGTGACGTACAGAGGAAGCCAGGCGTTGATTGGCTCCCTGCTTGACCCAACAGTTGTTACACCAAGAGAGCTCTCATCAAATTCGAATCCACCATGTGCTTTTAAGTGGGAACTAACATTGATCTTATACTCAAGAGCGTCTAGCATGGCGTTACGGCTTACTAATGTCCCACTGATAACTTGAAGTCGTATCTGTAACATAAACACACACATTTTATATCAAAGAAAGAAAAATAACGAGAGAAACAATGGTTAGGACGATCGGAATTATTCTAAAAACCAACTTTAAAGCATCTAAAGTACACGTACAACGCTCTAGATTTTAAAAAAATTGTAATTTACAACAATCTCAGGAGTTAATTAGCAAATTGACGTGTTAATGAATTGGTTGCAATAAAAAGGAAATAAAAGTATTTGAGTGCGGCATATATCTGCATAAAGTATTGTGGAGAATGATTCACGCTATCGATGCAAAGTGTTGCACAAGCATCCATTCAATTTTACTACATAACAATGCCTTTAACATGAACTATTACAAACTTTATCTCAAGAACATTGTCATTAAAGAGGTTTCAAGAAAACCAATAAATATTTTAGGGCTCTCAACTCATATACACAATATGTTTTGACCATGTGACTTCATCAGCCATCAAAACCTATTAAATACAGTAAATACTATAAATATCAATTTAACAAAACTAAGATATACATCTCCTTTTTATAATCTTCATATGTGATATATATTTTTTAAATTAGATTAAAACTAAACTAATCATTCAAAGAAGATGGGTTTACCAATGTTGGTTCATCAAGAACAAGTTCGCTTCTCATTACTGCTAAGCTAAAGCCAATCGCATCCTCTACTTCATCTCCTAACAGAATATCTTGTACAGAATTCTGGGACATTACACAAAAATAGAAATCATTTGCATCCTGGGATATATTTCTGATTTCCTCCTGATTAACAACGAGTTGATTTAAATGTTTCTGGGCGTTTGCAGCGTGCTGCATGTTTTTAGATGCCCGTTTGTCCATGATTCGCTGTCGTCTGCCTTTGTTGAACTAAAAAATAAATAAATAAATAAATAATAAAATTATGAATGAATAAATAATAAACAATATATATATATATATATATATATATATATATATATATATATATATATATATATATATATATATATATATATATATATATATATATATATATATATTATATGTTATTTTAGTTTTTGAGTGATATATGTGGATATATTACCTGTCAAGATTTTATATCACCCGAGCCGTTAGGCGAGGGTGATATTTTATCTTGACAGGTAATATATCCACATATATCACTCAAAAACCAAAATAATAATTTTATTACCCTTCCTCTGTCGAGTTAAGACGATTTTAAAATAAATCATTGCTACTTCAAATGAAACGTCGAAATAAGATTCCCTTTAGGGTACCCATTCACCACAACATGACGTCACATATACATGACGTAGTTTCTTTCGAACCTAACAAATGTAAACAAGAGAAAAGGAGTAGTCTGTTGAACGCGCTTTTTTGGAATTAATATCAAGCTTTCACAAGGTCATATTTGTTTTCAATACTGATGAGAATATGTATCATTACTCTATTTTGGTAAATATTTATCATTTGACAGTTAAAAAGTGCTTGTAAATCGGAATTTACATCGCGTAAAATCAAACCGTACGCGCATCGCCATAGCGCATGTTTTTTACAACTTGGGGTATCCAACGGGGAAATTTAGTGTGTATATTACCCGTCTGGCTCGGTAATATCAATTTCTTTCTGGTGATCAATATCCAATCAAAAAGGCGGAAAAAATCTGGAAGGGTAATAAATATATATATATATATATATATATATATATATATATATATATATATATATATATATATATATATATATATATATATATATATATATATATATATATATATATATATATATATATATACACACATATATAAATGAGACATTCAATTTAATTTAAGAAACGAGAGGTGCTTTTCAGAACATGACTGATTTTATCTTATTATATAATAAATAAAATAGCACTATCAATACGATGAAGTCCTGATTAAAAGGAGTGTAAAATAGAGTGAAATGTTGCTACACTGACGAATGTTCAATACACCACTGTAAAAAGTTGTCAGCTCGGTCTGATTGAGCATGTTAATGGTTGGTAACGGTTAATACAAGTAAACATTCAAGCCCCTTAGCAACCGCTGTATCATCTCACATACAAAACGAGAAATTTAGTTTTTTTAAGTTAACTCGGATAGGAAATTTTAACACAATAAATTGATATGTGGATATAGAACTGGACATTTATATACATGTATTACTAGTAGAATAGCATTAAATATGTTTTTACCACAGCCTGGTATCTCATATCGTGAGCTCTTGCTAACAGTGATATAGAATCTGTGCCACTCCTCATATATTCTGCCAACATCTTTTGTACTTGATCCAACTGGTGAACAATTGATGAACAATTTATATAAACCATATTACATTATATAATTTCACATTTTGTGACAAGGATTGAAATAAATAAGTAAAGAGGTGTGGTCTTAAATAAATTAAAAACCATATTTTACCGTGGTTTAATTTACCTATACAGTCCCTGATAGGATATGAACCCCCGGCGGTTAAGGAGAATTTTTGCCATTCAAATTTCTATATTATCATTTTTCATAACAGTCTTTTCTTTAAACAGTTAAAGAGGAAAATAAATTATCTCTTTCTTTGTGGTTAAAGAGAACTTGACCAAATTTCTTTTGCAGGATAATGTATTTGATTTCCCGTTGATAAAAGCACAAAAAACCTCAAAGAAACAAAAACACGAAAAACTTTTACAATCATTGATATTTGTTTTGGCGTATACTTTCTTTGCAGACATTCATACATCGTTATGTACTACACGTAAGGTTCAAACATTTTGGAAAACAGAATTCTTACGTAGGCTTTGTTAACACGTGTTTTTCAACAGAAAGCATCATTTAAACGCCAAGATTTCAAATTGAAAAAAAAAAGTTTTAGAATTTAAATACAGTGTAAATGATTCCTATTTGATATTTGTATTTAGAGACAAATGTTTCTTACATTGGTTTGAACATCTCTGATAAGTTCAAACATCTCCTGCCGATCTGCTTTATTGATTCCATTACCAAACACTTTAGTTTTAGACAGACTATCTTGGATCTTTTCAACTCTTGCTTGCAATTTTGACACATCTGAAAAAAGGTCAGCAAACATGATACCATTTCGTGCAATGCTTGTGATATTATTTGATAACTTGAACAAATATTTGAAACACTAAATAAGAACAATTATCTATATAAGGCGAAACGTACTCATATTCCGGCAAAACGTGTATAAAAAAGGAAACAAACTAAAAATGTAGCAGGATGGTTTTATTACTGGAAGTTCTTGTCGCCGTTATACGATCGGTATTAAATTACATTACGGAACGATTTTCTCAACTTCTAATATTTCCAGGTAAATAACTACCTACTATCATGCTTTCCAAAATTGACTGATTGTAAATAATAATAAACACGAAGTAATATTATATCTACTCATAATTATAATATTGCAGTTATAATACACGACATATTGTAAATTTTCACTTGTGACGGTATGTTAAATACATAAATGTGACGGTATGTTAAATACATAAATTCCAAACAATCACAATTGCGGACCTGAAGTGTAATAGTGGGATTGCTTTCACTTGTGAATCTTGTTTTTCATATTTTAAAAACAATTTACAACCTTCTTTTTTTGCGACATCATCGACAGTTTTATTCAATAAATTGTCAACATTTCTTTCAAGTATTCGCAGTCTCCATCGGGTCTTTTCAGGTACTTTGTCTACCAATTTGTGCGTCATGTTAACAATTTCACATGGGATGGATACACGCCTTGTTGAACCATCCTGGAAATAATGGGATAAACTTGTGAATGAAAACAAACAACCGTGAATAAATCTCCTACATTTTTTCGCATATAATTACTTATTGACAATTGAAAGTATCAAATGTTTGCGTTATTTGTTTGACCTGTATGACGTCAAAGGCATGTTCCTATTCTGTGAAACCATTTGAACAACGTGTCTCAGCTCGGCAATGAAATGTAACAGTTTCAGACATGGACACGTGTCACAGTCAAAACGAGTAAGTTACAAAAGCCTGACATCTTAATTGATACTATGTTGAAGCATATTATCAAAGAATAGCTTTCTCATTGTAAACGTTCTGCCTTAGTAAATGCGATAGTTATTATAGTTAAAAAAGCCTCTTTTGATTAAACATAATGTTGGCGCTAATATATGCTCAAACTTATATAAATGCTTGGTCAACATATTGTCATATACAGCAATGAAGTACAATAGAGAACAACTCAGAACAGCACAGCGCCACAATACAGCGACTGCTACAGTACATCACTTACTAGTGCATAGTGCCGGACAGCTGTTTATGGACGATCAGTATAGTTAGGATTATCACAGTGCATTAAAATAAATCACAGTGCATAGCAGCACAGCAAAGTGAATAGTTTTATTCAGTTTAAGCACAGTACAATACACATGTTTATTTAAATACAATAAAGAAAAGTTCATTACAGTAAATTACACTTAAGAAAAGCATTATACATTTCAATACAGTACAGAGTAGTATGGTTTAATGTTTTGTACAATTTTGTATATAGTTCTATACAATATATCCTCAAGGTGATGATACACTGCAGCTCTTATTTCAATAACTCTCTCGCCATGTATCTAATACTGAACACTCCTTCTTTTGGAAAGATATTATATTATACGACAAGAGCTTAATGTCTCTCAATATATTTGTATTTTTTCAATATCGAAGGAATATCAAAGCAAAATACTAAATTCTTGCAAACACTACTTGACTTATTAGCCTCTTACGTCATCTATGTATTTTCATGCTTCGCGTACATTGATATAGAAATTTAGCTGCGATCCCTAACGGTCTTTAGTAAGAAGACACGCTAAACCGTAAACATATCGCTTTCCATTAGGAGTTTGGTTTGCGGGTAAGATTTTATCGACTAAACTTTGAGAGTCATATTATCCTGCCCACTAATTAGCATATAACGGCTTAGTTACTGTTATAGGAATGCCGATGATTTTATAGAATTATGTGAAATACAATGTTGTTTTTTTATCGTATACCCTTTTATATTATTGACTAACCATTAATACGTGTAGAGGCTTTGTAGACTTACTCAGTAATAATTGGAACAAAACAATTATACAAACAATCATTTAATTAAAGATGCTAAATGATTTTAAAGATGATGAAAGAATGTATTAATACGTACTACTCTTATACTGGATTCAAGAAAAAGTGAAAGGGCTGGAAGTTGGTTAGGGTTATTATTGTATATCCAAGCATCTGCAACCAGCTAAATGCTTGGTCAACATATTGTCATATACAGCAATGAAGTACAATAGAGAACAACTCAGAACAGACACAGCGCCACAATACAGCGACTGCTACAGTACATCACTTACTAGTGCATAGTGCCGGACAGCTGTTTATGGACGATCAGTATAGTTAGGATTATCACAGTGCATTAAAATAAATCACAGTGCATAGCAGCACAGCAAAGTGAATAGTTTTATTCAGTTTTAAGCACAGTACAATACACATGTTTATTTAAATACAATAAAGAAAAGTTCATTACAGTAAATTACACTTAAGAAAGCAATTATACATTTCAATACAGTACAGAGTAGTATGGTTTAATGTTTTGTACAATTTTGTATATAGTTCTATACAATATTTCCTCAAGGTGATGACTGCAGCTCTTATTTCAATAACTCTCTCGCCATGTATCTAATACTGAACACTCCTTCTTTTGGAAAGATATTATATTATACGACAAGAGCTTAATGTCTCTCAATATATTTGTATTTTTTCAATATCGAAGGAATATCAAAGCAAAATACTAAATTCTTGCAAACACTACTTGACTAATTAGCCACTTACGTCATCTATGTATTTTCATGCCTCGCGTACATTGATATAGAAATTTAGCTGCGATCCCTAACGGTTCTTAGTAAGAAAATATAATGGAATATAGTAGAATATGCAAGAAAAAATATCTGACATATGTTTGCGGTTCGGATAGGAATTTCCGTCCTGAGGTGACCCGCCCATTGGGCGGTAACTCGGCTAGCCTTAAATTGTTACCGCCCAATGGGCGGGTCACCTCGGGACGGATATTCCATCCGAACCGCAAAATATGACATATATTATTAAACTTGCCATTCTTTACAGTGAATTACTAAATTCGCATCTCTTTCTGTTTTACCTTTGATTTTCTCATGTGTTTCTTTATCTTTTGCGACTTTTGCGACGATAGAAGCAGACTTGGATCGTTTATCCGGTCCAATTATGAAATTCGTATCTCCTACCATCTCGACTGTCACCTTCCGTGTATCACTTAAATAAATATCATTAAAAATTAGTATTTAGCTAATCGCTCTAACATGATTTCTTTAGAATATAATATTATTAATGTTTATATTTATTTATCTAAATGACCATATTCTCCTTTGAACATTTTGAAATTTTAAACTTTGTCAACAACAGGCGGATTTAATTGAGTGAGATCATACACTGCTAGAATAGAAGAAAATGATTAGTCTTTACCACTTGTAAAGAGCCAGGGTAGCCTGCACGCGCACTTTCACCAGGCTATATACTGTTTGCTAATCAACTTCAAAATTTCATCTTGATATCTCTAAAACTGAAAATGACCAGTTTCAAAGATAGAATGTGGACACGTCAATTAAAAAACAAAAAGGAAGTATCATTAAAAAGATACTGGGGTTCATTTGCTTTATCAAAGTTATTTTAATTTTATTTTTCTGTTACAATCGCATCATAAAAACTTAATTGTTTCCTAACACGCAGTGATTGATCCATTTTTGATAGTTTATATTAGCAAAAATAGTCATGAGGTAAATAAAACCAGATATTCCTACGCCATTTTTGAAAGTTGGAAACAGAAAGTTAAAATCAGTTTACAATATTACCTTTCAAGAATAAAATCAAATAATTCATCAAGTTTAGCTTGTAGAGCCTGTTTTTCATCACCTGGTTCACAATATCGAAACATACCCGGGCTGGTTCCACCTTTTTCTGCTACTTTCTTCAGAAACCGGAAGTCGTGCTCTGCAAAATATGTCAAGACCTTACTAACAAGAGCCAACGCCGGGAGGAGCGGACAACGCTAGACTTCTTTTTTAACTTTAGAAAAAAAAAACATACAAATAAACGATTTAAACAAATCTTTAACAAGAAAATTAAAGATTTTTTTTACATGTTTTCCATTTTTATCTGAAAAGAAAAAAAAGTCAAGCTAAAATATGTGCAGTTTCTTGAATAATTTCATTTTATCGTCAGATGTTCATACTCGCATTTTGCGTTCATCGTCTGATTTTCAACTTTATACCCCTAGACCAAATACTGAACAATTTCGTAAGTCTTTTGTTTATTCTGGATCTTGTATTTGGAACGGCCTACCTGATTATATTAAGTCTGCTAAATCTGTTAACCATTTTAAAACCTTACACTTGAGGTTTTATTACACATTGAAGTATACAAATTGATAATCTCCTGTATGTTTTACATTTATGTATTTGAATAGTTTGAATATGTTAAATTAATATTGTTCCTTGTTGAGGGCCTCATGGAAGATTGATATGTTTGTTCTCTCGATTAAATAAAATCTTTATTATTATTATTATTATTATTATTATTATTATTATTATTATTATTATTATTATCATTATTATTATATGTTTAAATTTGTCTTCTTCTTTAGATATGTGATATAGTGCTCTAGTGAGATCATCGTGACCAGTGTTTATTCATTGGTTAGTCCATGGCAGATATGAAAGTACTGAACTAATGAATACAAATTGAATATTTTAACTAGTTTGTGTGAATGCGAATATGTTGTTTATCAAATCTAATAATTATTTGTGAACAGATCGTAAACACCTTTAGAGAAACCAACAGCATGAACAATTGTTTGTTTTGAACATCGTTTTAATCCTTTTTCCAGGTTTGGGATCAGGCCCGACAGCTTCACCTGGTTGCTACATGTGTCTTGTCCATCGGTTAGAAGAACAACCACCGTCTGTTTATAGTCCGCACCTGTAAACATATATTTACAAAGTACAAACATTTATTTCAATATTAATAGAAAAATCAGTTTAAAAGGATGCGTCTTTTAAATCATGACTTGTATTTTGTTTTCGATGTACATAAATCAAAAACTGTTTTTTTTTAACAATGATATATATAATTTATATCAATGTGTATCAACCATTTATAAAAGAAAATAATTAGTAATCATCAAATAGAATAAACTGAAGTGGAAATTTGATTGGTCATTCATGTTATATAACGTAATTTCCATACTGTGCTATCAGAGATACTGTTTCAATTCGATAAGTCTTTGTTTTCATATGAATGATCTTATAAATCCCCCCTTTCTCGGGTCAAATGTTATCTTTATTGATAAATAAAAAAACTGTCAATGTGTCTTGTCGTAATTAAATGCTTTTACCTGTTTTTGACACTATTTCAGTCACTTTTTCAAAAGCAGCAACAAAATTCGTCATTCCACCTGCTTTAAGGTCATCTATTGTCTTTTTATAATTGGATTTAATAAAATGAACATGAGTTGCAGTGGCATTGTACACAATAAGATCAGTCTTGAAATGTGCCATGTCTATGCTGGAGTCGATAATTGCATGTAGAGACTCTTTTACCTAAAATTAAAATAGATCAAAACTTGAATCGAATTCGACAATGAGTGGTCATATAGAATGAGTTGATGATTGCACACGATTAAAATACTCGCGTAACTGCTCCCAGCATTTATTTCTTTTATACATATTTGTTGTCTGCATTAAGATAGAAATAATTCCATTGACTCTAGAAAATTAGTAAATTAGTTCGAGACCATTTACGCACCAAATATTACAAAAACCGATATAATAATTTATGTCAGATGGGACCAAACATTTAATTTTATCTGATCTTTCTCAGACAATATCTTTGAGGCTCTTATGGTAAAAAATTGGTCAAAAACCAAAGTGCAACGAAAATAAATAAATAAATAAAAACATTTTCAACTTCGCCGATGGCGTAATTCCTGGCGTACTCACTTTCACTCCACTTGTCCTTTCTCTCGACCGATCTATGTCCTTACATTGGTTAACCCTGTTATCTTTCACCCGACTTATATATGCCCTTTAACTCGATCTGTCTTTCTCCTCAACTTATCTTTGCCCTTTAACATGACCTGTCTTTCATTCGACATATATTTGCCCTTTAACTCGACTTGTCTTTCTCTCGACTTATATTTGCCCTTTTACTCGACCTGTCTTTCTCTCGACTTATATTTGCCCTTTAACATGACCTGTCTTTCATTCGACATATATTTGCCCTTACCTCGACTTGTCTTTCTCTCGACTTATATTTGCCCTTTTACTCGACCTGCCTTTATCTTGACATAAATTTGCCCTTTAAAACGACATGTCTTTCACTCGACTTATATTTGCTCTTTAACACGACCTGTCCTTGTCTCGACCTATATTTGTCCTTTAACACGACATGTCTTTCACTCGACATATATTTGGCTTTTAACATGACTTGTCTTTCTCTCGACATATCTTTGCCCTTTTCCTCGACTTATATTTGCCCTTTAACACGACATGTCTTTCACTCGACTTATTTTTGCTCTTTAACACGACCTGTCTTTGTCTCGACTAATATTTGCCCTTTAACACGACATGTCTTTCTCTCCACTTATATTTGCCCTTTAACACGACATGTCTTTCACTCGACATATATTTGCCCTTTTACTCGACCTGTTTTTCTCTCTAAATATATTTGCCCTTTAAAACGACTTATCTTTCTTTCGACTTATATTTGCCCTTTTATACAACATGTCTTTCACTCGACTTATATTTGCCCATTAACACGATGTGTCTTTCTCTTGACTTATATTTGCCCTTTAACACGACATGTCTTTCACTCGACTTATGTTTGCCTTTTAACACGACCTGTCTTTGTCTCGACTTATATTTGCCCTTTAACACGACTTTCTCTCAACTTATATTTGCCCTTTAACACGACATGTCTTTCACTCGACATATATTTGCCCTTTTACTCGACCTGTCTTTCTCTCTAAATATATTTGCCCTTTAAAACGACTTGTCTTTCTCTCGACTTATATTTGCCCTTTTATACGACATGTCTTTCAATCGACTTATATTTGCCCATTAACACGATGTGTCTTTCTCTCGACTTATATTTGCCCTTTAACACGACATGTCTTTCACTCGGCATATGTTTGCCGTTAAACTCGACCTGTCTTACTCTCGACTTATATTTGCCCTTTAACACAACATGTCTTTCTCTCGACTTATATTTGTCCTTTAACATGACATGTCTTTCACTCGACATATATTTGCCCTTAAACTCGATCTGTCTTTATCTCTACTTATATTTGCCCTTTAACTCGACCTGTCTTGCTCTCGACATATATTTGCCCTTTATCAAGACTTGTCGTTCTCTCCACTTATATTTGCGCTTTTACTCGACTTATATTTGCCCTTTAACACGACATGTCTTTCACTCGACTTATATTTGCTCTTTAACACGACCTGTCTTTGTCTCGACTTATATTTGCCCTTTAACACGACATGTCTTTCTCTCCACTTATATTTGCCCTTTAACACGACATGTCTTTCACTCGACATATATTTGCCCTTTTACTCGACCTGTCTTTCTCTCTAAATATATTTGCCCTTTAAAACGACTTGTCTTTCTCTTGACTTATATTTGTCCTTTAACTCGACATGTCTTTCACTCGACTTATATCTGCCCATTAGCACGATGTGTCTTTCTCTCGACTTATATTTGCCCTTAATTTCGACCTGTCTTTCTCTCAACTTATATTTGCCCTTTAACACGACATGTCTTTCACTCGGCATATATTTGCCCTTAAATTCGACCTGTCTTACTCTCGACTTATATACTTAAATACTTCTAAATTCTGTAATTCAGATTTTGGCCATATAATCACTGGTAATTTTGATATAATTGCAGACAAAAGAATTCGTAACTTATTCTTGAAAGGACCTAAATACAGAATTCCTTCTGAGATTGATTTTAATGCTTGTCGTGGTCAGATTGCTGAATCTATAGAGGATTTTTCGGTCAAATGGTGTCGCCGTGAAAATGCGGATAGTAATGCTCTAGTTACATGGAAACGTATCATCTTTAAAATTATTGATTCACGTATTAATTTTTATCGTGGAAATGAACATCTTTTGCCACCTAAACCAAAACTTACTTTAAGACATCTGAAAAAAGATATTCTAGCTTTTCATTCAAAATTTGTTTTGGTGCCAGCAGACAAGGCGGCTAATAATATTATAATTGTTTGACGAATCCATTACATTAACGTTTTGCATAAGGAACTAAATAGCACTAATGCGTATTCTAAAACCTCTGCCTCCGAAAAAGACATTGTAAACAATCATTTTACTAATATTTCTAATCTTAAAGTCCAAATTAATGAAAAAGAACTCAAACTTCCTATTATGTATTGGATTCCTAAATTACATAAAAAACCTTACAAAGCCAGATTTATTGCTAATTCTACATCTTGCACTACAAGTAAACTTTCTATTTTATTGACGTCTTGTTTGACTGCCATTAAAACACATGTAATTAGATATTGTGATAAAGTCTATGAAAACACAGGCAAACATCTCTTTTGGTCAATTAAAAATTCTGGTGAAATCTTGGATAAATTCAAAATTAATAACTTTCAAGCTTCAACTGTCAGTACATACGATTTTTCTACACTTTATACAACTTTGCCACATAAATTAATCAATGATAAACTAATTTCCCTAATTCAGAAAACTTTTGCACGGGAAAAAGTTACCTTTCTAGCATGTAATTCTAACAAAGCTTTTTTTACTAACGGTATTGTTAAACATTATACTATGTGGACCTGTGACGAAGTTTGTAGAGCACTCTCTTTTCTTTTAGACAACATTTATGTCAGGTTTGGTAATACCCTATTTAAAAGGGATTAGCCAGCCTGGTTTTTATGGCGATGTGGTTTACAAACTTCGTAAGATTTTGGGTCATGGTAATTTTTCTGCTGTTTTTACTAAAATCATTAAACGTTTTATTAAAAGAGGTTATGACCCTACTATTTTAAGACATACTGCATGTTTAGTGTTCAACCCTTTTACAGTTGGACACTACGCTTTCCTCTTTTGATTGCATCTGACGGACCAAGTGGGAGACTCTATGATGGATAGTTCGTAAAGCCCTTTGGGACTGAATTGTCTTAATGTTCGTCTTCTGCCTTGCTTCGTCGGGCCCTTGTAGGTGATTTTCTTGTTGCTCTGTCTTCCTTTAGGACATTGAGTACTTTTGTTATGGTCATTGGGTTTACTTTTATACTTATTTAACCTTTTGTAACCATGACAACTGTTAGAATTTCACTTGGCGGGGATTCATTTTATTTGTTTGGGGTCCGCCTGGGCTCCTTGCCATTGGGTTCTTGTTGCTTGGTCATATGGGGGTTGCGTTCATTGAACGCCGCCTTTCCTTGTTGATCTTGCTTATCATATTTTATATTTGCCCTTTAACACAACATGTCTTTCTGTCGACTTATATTTGTCCTTTAACATGACATGTCTTTCACTCGACATATTTTTGCCCTTAAACTCGATCTGTCTTTATCTCGACTGATATTTGCCCTTTAACTCGACCTGTCTTTCTCTCGACATATATTTGCCCTTTATCAAGACTTGTCGTTCTCTCGACTTATATTTGCCCTTTAACTCGACTTATATTTGCCCTATAACACGACATGTCTTTCACTCGACTTACATTTGCTCTTTATCACGACCTGTCTTTGTCTCGACTTATATTTTCCCTTTAACACGACATGTCTTTCTGTCGACTTATATTTGCCCTTTAACACGACATGTCTTTCACTCGACATATATTTGCCCTTTTACTCAACCTGTCTTTCTCTCTAAATATATTTGCCCTTTAAAACGACTTATCTTTCTCTCGACTTATATTTGCCCTTAATTTCGACCTGTCTTTCTCTCGACTTATATTTGCCCTTTAACACGACATGTCTTTCACTCGGCATATATTTGCCCTTAAACTCGACCTGTCTTACTCTCGACTTATATTTGCCCTTTAACACAACATGTATGCATATACTTTGTATGTTCACATGATAAAAAATATTTCCTATCACTTTACTTACCTTTGTCCATTTACTCGACTTAACCTTTCTATTTTCAAAGGCCTAAATTTTATGGATCGCACCCACTTTTAATGAAACTTTTAATGTATGCATGCCTAAAATGATTCATATTCACCTGTTTCCAAGGGTTACCAGCCATGGAACCACTGTTGTCGACCACAAGGACCAAATGTGTTTTATTGTGTAGCTGTTCATCATCTTGTGACACTTCTATATTTACTGTCATAAACTGTTCACTGCTATAAATGCCATGCTCTGATATCGAACCTGAAACGAGACATTTTTCTTCTATTCTGTTTTCTTTTTTAAAGTTAAACTAACACATTAGAGGTCATATGGCGACTTTCCAGCTTTACTGGTGGTGGAGTAAAACCTTACATATCCCACCATGCATAATCTCAGGCTTTCATATAAGTAGAATCAACGACGTTTAAATTTTAATATCACTCCATATACATGTATAGATAATTACAGCTTTTGCCTGATATTGCTGTTCAAAATATTTAAGTATTATTTACAATTAAATGAAAGAGAGAAATTATAAGATTTGTGATATATACGCACTATTATCATTAAATTTTAAGCACGTTTGTTCATTATGTTTTATTCAATTAGTCAACTTTAACCAAAGAACATGGGAATGGTGATTGAGCACTGTAGCATCATTGGAAGTCGGGAACGGGATTACAAATGTTTGTCTTATCATTGAATATCTTTTAATCTACTGTCTGTAAGAGTATGATATTGCTTAGAAAAATATGCCGCCTGGCCGGGATTTGAATTGGAACTCTTGGAATACCGTACCACGGCTCTGCCGACTGACCTATCCGGCCGCTCACACAGCGTCACCCCTTAATAGTAAACAAACAAAATAGTGAACAGATCTGACCTGGTTTATTGAAATTCGTTCTCGAATTTCATAGAGTCACAGAGCAATGAGCTATATTCATTCATGGTCCCCCGTTGGGTGCCAAATGTAACAGGGTGAGAAAAATGTGAAGCTTGACCAGGACTTGAACCCAAATACCTTGGGATACCGTACCGCTGCTCTACCGACTGAGCTATCCGGCCACTTACTACGGAAGCGTCCTGGTGCCAATTCATAATGTTCTATAAAAAAATAAACTCCTAAGTGGGAGATAAAAAAAGCCTAATTAGGAGTTGGTAACTCCTACTAAGGACTTATAAAGTCCTACGTAGGTTTTTATAACTCCTACGTAGGAGTTTATAAGTCCTACGTAGGAGTTTATAAGTCCTACGTAGGACTTTATAACTCCTACGTAGGAGATTAAAAAGCCTAATTAGGAGTTTATAACTCCTACGTAGGACTTTTAAACTCCTACGTAGGACTATTTAACTCCTACGTAGGACTTTATAACTCCTACGTAGGGGATAAAAAATCCTAATTAGGAGTTTGTATCTCCTACGTAGGATAAAGTTTCTTGCCCAAGGAAACAACAGCTTGCGCCTAACGGGGTTTGAACCCATGCGGCTAGCGATCATTAGGTTACTAGTCACATGGCCATGCCGCCACACTTCACATTTTAATAAAGTGTCTCAGGTTTCTAGAGTGTACAGTGTCTTAGAGTGAGGTGTCTGTAAGCATTGGCGATGTATCCCGAAAAATATCATTACAGCTATTTGAAAAATTTACTCGACAACAAGCATTTCTGAAATATGAATATATCAAATTTCTAAAAGGCTTTAACGATTACTTTTTCCATACGAACAAGCTGAACAAAAAGAACAATTTATCCATTTTCGGCCGTTTCAAATAATTAAATCCTTAAAGGGGACAAGAGGAGTAGTGAAGTGTCTTGTTCCTTAAGAAGAATACGGTTTGCGGAGCATTATGCATGCATATGTTTATTAATGATTTGTTTGTTTCAATCTACGCCTTTTCCCAACAGCATTTTAGTCATATATGCGGGTAGTTTCCTAACCATCGTTCCTGGAGAGTTACACCAGTACTGTGCTACCTTCCTCCGCGCTATACTACCAAAGCATCTCCCGGGGATCGAACCCACGCCAGAGAGGTAACTGGATTAGAAGTCATCGACTTTAACCACACGACCACGGAGGCGGTGTTTAATAATGAATTATATCCTACTTTGAACAAAGTTTAACCCATACATTGTATAATCAATATAACTAAACGTACATAATACATAATCATCGCTTAATATTTGCAGAGAATGACAAAATCATCTCTGGCTACACACTACGGGTATTTAATAAAGCGGCTTGCCACAATTACAACTTGAAACATATAATTTATTTTCCTACATAATATGCTATCTTAAGTTATACTCTAGCATACATGTCCGTCGAACTCTGTGCTTTCAGTACTTTGATATGTATCCTACTAAGGACTTGTAAAGTCCTACGTAGGAGTTCTAAAGTCCTACGTAGGAGTTATAAAGTCATAATTAGGCTTTTTTTATCCCCTACGTAGGAGTTATAAAGTCCTACGTAGGAGTTACAAAGTCCTACGTAGGACTTATAAAGTCCTACGTAGGAGTTTAAAAGTCCGACGTAGGAGTTATAAACTCCTAATTAGGCTTTTTTTTATCTCCTACGTAGGAGTTTATTTTTTTATAGAACATTATGAATTGGCACCAGGACGCTTCCATAACTTACACATCGTCTCCCCAAATATGAACCGTGATACTATAGTTCTAAAAATAGTAAATTCTGACGGAAAAATAAAAATTCAATATACCATAAAATTTAACGGATTTTTGAAGTAGCAGAGATTATATTTTTCAAAACCACCCGAATAGATAGTGAACGATGTAAAGCCGGTTAAGGATCGGAAATATGCGCCGCAATCTGCGTCCCGTTACATGAATACAAAGTATATTATGTAATTGCATTTTACTTACCTTTCGCAATGGGTCCTCTTTCCTCATTGTCGTTCGCCGGATTCTCATCACCTCTCATGCAGTTTACTTCATCGCTCCTAGATTTCTCCTCGTCGCTCCTAGATTTATCATCGGCTGACCTTGGTGTGTCATCGGCGGACATTGGTTTCTCTGATACCACGGTCTCGATGGTCACCCAGGCTTTTGGCGGGTCCACGGATGTCATGGTTCTCGCTGATGTTAGGGTTTATTCCAGCAGTAAGCAAGTCGTTGATTCGAGTGATGATGATGTCACCGTTTTGTAAACTAGATAGTTTAAAGCTTAGATAAATTCGTTATTCTCTAGTGTTTTTACATATTATACATTTTTTTCTCAATATCATGTTATAAATCATCATAAAGCATTCACACTAGTAAACTAGTACAACATGGAATAATATCTCAACTATTCATCAAATGTTAATCTTAATATCATTTAAGGAGACGCACTTGTTGGATATGTGTTTTCTAACGAGCTACAGGTCCTTTGAGATAGCTTTTATTTTATGTTATTTTTTGATATATCCGCATGTTATAAAATACTAAAACTTTCTCTATTAATAATGTTTAACCTTTTCATGTTTTATTCATTAATAAACAATGCATGTTAGCAGAAGTTACAATCACGTGAATGACAAATTTTATAAGAAAACTGGCAAGACTTCATATGTTTTTCGGGTCGCCCTTCGTTCATCGAAATAGTACATGTATGTCGTCTTCATCAAATCAATTTTACAATATACTGATATTAAGATATAATAAGCGTGCCAATCATTGCATAGCCATATCAAATATATTTATACAATACTTATGCACAAATAGAGCACCAGTACGAACATTTAGTACTACAGTAATGAATATATAGAGCACAAAAACGAAAAATTACAGTACCAAAACAAACATACAGAATATAAGAACATATTTATATAAGGTACCAAAACTAACATATCAAAACTAACATATAGAGTACCGAAACTAACAGAATGCCAGAACAAACATTTAAGGTACCGAAACTAACATATAGAGTATCAAAACTAACACACTTATTGCCAAAACGAACATTTAAGGTACCAAAACTAATCGTATAAAAACAATCTATGAATTAAGAACATTTTAAACCCCAGCTATAACATGAAACCGTTAGTTTAAAATCGTACTTTACACAAAGATGAGCTTAGTTTACAATTAAATTATAACACGAGATTTATATATACTCAAACTGACTAAATTTTTTTAATAGAATTCTACTTAAAAACCGAATGACATATCAAAATGTTAGAAGATTAAACGTTATAAGCCTGGTATGCAGTTGTATATCTAAAGTATATACTGATATCGATCTAAACTAGCATGTATAATTATAACTACATAATTATATATTATAAACTTGTGTTATATATAATGATAATAATAATATCATACCTTATACTTATGTAAAATCCTTCATATTTTTTCTGCAGATTTTTATAAAAGGACCTAACTATTATAATATATAGCTATATTTTCACAATTACAGCTCTTCTGAATGTATTTCATCATTACTTTACACAGTGTTGTGAAATATTCTATTTTTAGCACAGTGTATTTTTAGCTTTATAATACATGTACATGTATTACTAAATGAGGTTTCTCTCGTATATTGATAGGTACTTACGAGTATAATTAAAGATATTCTTAAAACTATTAAATAAACTATACAGATCATCTAGCTCGAATTTCTTTAATTATCTGTTTACATCAATATTGACATAAAGGTATGAAAGCATACGATTTTTCGCCTGAAAAGTCACTTATTCAGCATTTTAAAGCGTAATAGCGTACTTGTATTTAGTTCGTCGTATATTTTATAAAAAAAATGAATACATACAAATGTGGCTAATTAATTTAAAAGATTCAAAATGAATTAAAAAAAATGTATTCAGTTCTCTATAATGACGTACATTAATATTTCTTAATTGAATGATAAAAACGAAACAATGTCATCAACGTTTTCGTGATATTTTGAGTAAAAATCATACTAAAATGTGCGCGATTGAAAACTCGAACTCGAAAAACATTTTCATATTCTTTAAGCTTTAATCACTACGCTACTCGGGTTTATGTGTAAATACCAACTTTTATTTGAAATAGAGTGTGATAATTGAATAACTTGCACAACCCATTATATCATAACGGTACCACCGAATGATTAATTTTTTTAATATGGGGTTTGAAAAACTACAACAAACTAGATATGTGGAGATAGAATATGCACTCTTTTTACTGACAATGTTGTTGATGATGAAACTCACTTTTTATTGAATTGCTCTAGGTACAACGATTTACGTGATAATCTCATTATCAAATCAAAGATAGTAGCAGTGACTTTGACGATATGTCTGATATTCAAAAAGTTATGTGATACAAAAGCAATATATTAGCGCTGCAAAGTTTATTGTTGAAAGTATGAAAAGAAGATGGTTATAAATATCTTTATAAATGAACTGATATTATTACATATTGACACGTTAATTGAGTGTAATTTCAACACGTAAATTATTATCTTAATCATTTGTAGAATTGTTTAAAAAATATAAAGAAATAAAACACCACATTAACATAATATACAATTTCTGGCGTTGAAAGTTTGAAATGCTTTGCTAGTAGTCTATATACAATATTTCGTATATGAATTTATAAAAATTGACAACTGTATATTTTTTTTTATATGCTTTACATATTTCCTATTGAATTAATTATATATCATATTTATGAATTGTACATAGCTTAAAATAACTTATAGGCCCAACGTGGCCGGGTGCTGTAATCTGTTATATGTAAACATAATGTCACTTTAATAAAATATATTTTTGGCAATATTGACCCGATACATTTGAATATTCAATAATCTATTGTCGGTCATTATCGGATTCCGAAGTGGTCTTACGGATTTTTAGGTAATATAACTTAAAGTAAGTAACACAACTCATGCCTAAATAGCCTCAGTGACAAGGGGTAAAGACTTTCAGTTTCAATTTGAATGTATAGTAGGTTCGAATCTGAGCGAAACATTGCGTCTCGTTTCTTCTTTTCATTCATTTAGTCTTTTTTACTTTATTAAGCGAAACTTGATTACCATGTTTTTGCACGTCAATCACCCATTGAACGACATAGGGGCGTCCGTGGCCGAGTGGTTAAGGTCGTTGACTTCAAACCACTTGCCCCTCACCGCTGTGGGTTCGAATCCCGAGAGGGGCTTTGGATTCTTTCATGCGAGGAAGCTATCCAGCTAGCTTACGGAACGTCGGTGGTTCTACCCAGGTGCCCGTTCGTGCCTGAAAAAATGCACGGAGGGGCCCCTGAGGTCTTCCTCCACCAGTAAAGCTGGAACGTCGCTTAATGACCTATACCGTGTCGGCATGACGTAAAACCCAATCAAACAAACAAACAAACAGTTCCTGTGTTGGCACAGACACTCATCACTGATCACAGATATATACAATGAATGTAAGGCATCGCAGAGGGGACATTTTTCTTTTTAGAAAATAAACAACAAGTTTGCCAATTCGTGATGACGAGTTACTTGGTCACACGACAGATAATGATAGGAAAAATATTAACAAGAAAGAAAGAAGAAAAAGAAAGAACGAAACAAACAAACATGTACATACGTGATAATCAAAAGATTTGATTACTCATTACGAATCTTTTTTTTTTTTGTATCGTTAGAATCCCGTAGTCTTTTATTAGTTATTATCTCCTGCAAAATTGGTTACTAGTTTGTACCTCGTAAATACGTTTCATCTCAAAGCGGCTGATTTAAATATAAAACAAACAATTTTCAATTTAAAATACTAATAGTCATATCTTGAAATAACAAGCAAGTACCTACAATGTCGAGCGTTGCTTCGCGTTGTCGAGCGTCGCTTTGCGTTGTATCGCATTGTCGCGCGTCGACCCTTAATTATAAACGAGACGGACGACATGCTAAATGGCACGATAAGGACACCTTCACCTACAACTCGGAAAAGCTTTTACTTTAAATGGTTCATTTTTCAAAGCACGTCGACCAACAAGGCAAAAAACGGTTATTTTCTCATTTAACAAAGGAAATAAGGTCGTGTTTACCATTTAATTTAATGTTTAATTGTTTGACTATATAGATCGCCTTATTTAGGCTTATTTATTTGTGCCTCGTTTAGGGCACACGCTTTTTATTACTTGGGGACCATACGCCGCTTTTCATGGAATGGCACGCAAATGTCACATTGAAGGTGCCATGATGACCGCCGTATGAACACATCTGCGGATGTTTCTAAATTCAAAATTTTACTATTTCATGTTTAAATGTTGAATTCTGCTAAGCCGGTGCTAGGGGGCGTGGACGGTAACTTGCACTTTCCAGTACCGTCCATGAACAGGCTCAATCAAACCGAGCCTGCAACATTTTCAATATTGCCGTGTTGGGCTTTCTTTAGGGATTCTGTATTTATCTATTTTATCATTATTATTAATAACCTCCGGCCCTATGTGCATATAAGTCACCTTGCTGACAGTGTAATTTTTTCTCAACGTATTCATATACATATAGACGCAACATATTAAATCTATTTAATTGAAATACTAAATGATACAACATACTTTAATATTTTAAGGTAAAGTATGATAATTACCAGAATGCATTGTTTTTAAAAAGACATTCTATCTTTTCCTATAGAGGAATGTAAAACAGTGACAGATAGCCAGTCAATCTGAACTTCTGTACTTTGATTTGTGTGTGTGTGTGGGGGGGGGGGGTGGTGGAAAGGGTAATGCAAAAGAAAAGTACTGTTTATATTGTCTGTACAGGAATAAACATTTATCCAACTTGTTTTAAAGCTGCATGTCTCCAGATGAGCCAAAATATTTCAAATAATCAATCACAATTACCCCGGCAGCACTACGGTAATTCCCATCTAATACACAGGATGCGCCCGGACCATCCAGGCAAAGCCAATGTGAAGCTATAGTTCATGCCGGTGCTTCGCCGGTCGTTCCCGGATAAGCCCGCAGTGCCCCGTTTGACCCAGGCAGAGTCCCGATCGATGCAGGTAGACCCCCAGCAGAGCCCAGGACGATCCCGGCAGAGGTACAGTGTGCGTGACGAGAATATATTTGTTGATTGTGCCGGCGGTCCTTAAAAGATCATGTACAGTGTATGTCGCAATTAAAAATCTGGAAACAAAGTGATATCTCGGAAGCATAAATCACAACAAAATTACATGAAAATTGCAGACTTCGTTTGACTCTGTTCAAAGGTTGGATTGATATGTCTACTTTCAAAACTCATTAACTCTTTCGATAATTAGTGGAAAAGAAAGGCCAATTATGCTACATATTGATAGTGTAGGAAGCCATGTGAACATATATTTAAGTGAGGCTAAAGACCATGGAATAGACTTATACAGACTAGTAAAAATGAGAATAAAGATCAACAAGGCAAAACAAGTTCACAAAACGTAGCCCCCGGCACACATCCAGTCACACCAGTAGGGCATCCAGAAGGCACCGAAATAAAAAAATGGGAGAAGACACAAGGGCAGTGAAAGGAGGGGGATATGTTATAAGTAAAATGACAAGAACTAAAAGGGGCCAATACGGAAATTAAAGGGACAAGGGGTGTCAGTGGAAATAAGGGGTGAGGTTAGGGCACAAAACGGGATAAGATTGATAAGAGAATGTACTTACCGTTAACGACAATATAGCAAGATAGGACATCATATAACATTGGAAAACAAATAACAATACACAAAACATGTGAAGGTAAAAAGGGGTACCGACTTGGAACAGTCAGTAGAAATGCTACACATATTATGCAGCCACTTGATGGTGGTGTATATGGACCGCTGAAAAGTTCTTGGTACAAACATGTAAAACTGCATAGACGAGAGCATCAAGATGACCCGATAAGTAAGAAGACCTTTGCAAGACACTTACATTTTGGCTTCATGAACTTTTATAAACCAATAATATAGTTGATTTCTTTTCCTTCTTTATTTTGTAAGGGTAATCATAATTGAGTTGTAAGCAAGTGCCTTCCTACTGGAAAGTGCAAGTTACCGACCACGCTCGCAGTACCAGTTCATGTGAAATGTTGAATTCTGCTTAAGCCGGTGCTAGGGGGCGTGGACGGTAGTTTGCACTTGACAGTACCGTCCATGAATAGGCTCAATCAAACCGAGCCTGCAACATTTTCAATTTTGCCGTGTTGGGCTTTCTTTAGGGATTCTTACTTTCTCTATTTTAAGCAGAATTCAACCTTTAACACGAAAATTGTGACATTTTGAATTTAGAAATATCCGCAGATGCGTTCATACGTCGGTCATCGTGGAACCTTCAATGTGACACAGTAGTGCCATTCCATGAAAAGCGAGGTATGGCCCCCAAGTAAAAGAATGCTTGTGCCCTAAACGAGAAAACAATGAGCGGAACTAAATAAATTGGAATTTTGAAAGGGGATCAGAGGTTATGAAGCATGCATATCACAGATAAGACGTCAAAAGACAAATTTAAAAAGCAGGCAACATATCCTAAGGGTGATT